TATTCTGAATATTAATGGAAAACAAAGAGGTGCCAGACTAGGTCTTTGAGCTTTCTATATTATTAGGGATAAACCAAAATAGAACCTTTTTCAGCTACCAATTTCTATATTTGGCTTACTATTTGATTCATTTGTATGCTAGGCCCCCTAGTGGCAACTCTTGAGAATACAGTGAGACATTATTTTCATTGAGACGAATGTGAAATCTTGTTACAGTTAAACTGAATAATATAATATTGATGTGATAGACGTCATTCAGTGGAACGTAAGGCAGAGTGAGTGTGTAATTTGTGTGACTATTTAAAGAGACAGCATTTGTCAACTAATAAAAGCTTAGAGAACAAAATGGGCACAGAAACACGTTTCACATCTTGCTTATTGCACGTGAAGATGCCAACATCATCAGCTGTCAATGACTGAGCAATGACAAAGAATGGGATGACTTACAGATGAAAAAAATTAATTGGTGTCCAGGGTTGTATTCAGCTTAACAAAACTGTACTTTTTATTTAATATTTTTGTAATAAAAAAGGGGTTTAAAAAAACCCTGAAACCTAATATTAATAAAGATTTAAAGGTTGCAGCTCTAATTTAAACAACGGTAAACAAAATTTGGTAATTTAAGGATTGAGATAAAAACTCTTGAAAAAAGAGCAGTTATGCAATAAAAGTACAGCTCTAGGTACAGCTAAATTCTGCAAGGCTGCAAAATGATTGCAACTCTCTGGAAAGTATTCAATCCCCAGGGGAGCTAGTACGTCTTCATTAAATATGCTTTAAACACTAATTTGTCTGTCTAGGTACAAAGGAGGGTATATGAAATGCGCATACAATATTTGATAATAATTATTCTAAAATGCATTAAGTTAAAGGCAGGGAGAGGGAGCTAAGCCAAATTCACGCACTTAACTGTGAGAGTCAGATACAATATTTGTATTTTAAAACCTTTATGTTTAATAGACATTATGAAATGCAAAAGTTTTTTTTACCAGGAAGTGCAAGATGTGAAGGTGAAATTGTGCTTAGTAAAAGGAAAATAAACTACATATTTGAAAATAAAGAAAATTGGAAGCAGAAAGGATACACTCTTACAAGGGATTAACTCTTCAAAAACTACAGCAGTAGTAAAAATAGAAAAAGAGAGAGCAGATGAGTGTCCTCAGAATAAAATATAACTTTTAATATTGAAATAGATTAAAATGATTTATAATAAATAGTAATAAATAGATCATATAAATCAAAACAAATGTATGTACTGAGTAAATAAAATACTGGAGGATCAATTTGTTTCTAAATATTTGGTAATAATGAGCAAAGGAGGTCCTGTTCAAAAGTTTTCAGGATAAATCTCCAAATGTAGAAAACCAAGTTGGTTTTCTAATATGTTAAAGTGTGTATATAAATATGTTAACAAAACTGAAACAACTAATCCATACAGTGTTAAATAAAAATTGCTACAGGCATAGTGCTAGGTAGGATCCAAAACTGCACTAGACTGTACAATGCAAAAAAGGAAAAATTATTCAATGGCCAGCTCATACAGAGGGAGTAGAAATTTCTACAAAATTATCGAGAGCATAAGCTCTATGATCCCCCTACTCGTATGGCTAGTATAGGGCTACATATCTGAAAACAGAATCTACGAAGTCTGAAGTTCATCTAAACAGACAGCAACACTGTGGTAAGTAATGTCGGAAGAGCCCTTTCCCCTGACGCGCGCGTTTCGCCCACAGCTCATCAGAAGGGAACTACATATTTTGTCCATTTTTTATTTTTTATTTTTTTTAAGAAGTGTTGATTTTTATTTAAAAACCCATTAAAATTTCAGGACCGATTATTGCTCAAGTAATCTGATTGCCTGAACAATACTAGATTAGAGAAAATCTAATTGACGCACAAGTCTAAACAAAATAACAAATCACAATAGCTTCTTTTTCAACACCGAAAAATTACAAATAATGTTTGCGTTATCAGCATAACTATATGGCTGCCATATTGTTCCATTGATGAATATTAAAAATAAAAATACACGTCAAGTCCACTATTACTAATGAGTAGTTGTTTTCATAAATATTGGGCAAGGGAAAAAAGTCTCCATGCATTATATGACATCACGTGATGTCACTTGTCTATTACACCCACACCCTATAAAGCACTAGCTGGGAGGCAAGCTGGCATTTTGATCATTTGTCAGATCCTGTGAAGCTGCACTCTGCTGAGCTGTGAAAATGAATAATCAGAGGCTACCCGACAACTACCAGACACCGGTGAGACCCAGGTGAGTGTACACTCAGAGTGACCGGTACTGTCACGATTAGCTGCCTTGTTGTCAGGGCTTAAAGATTATTCATGAAAATTAAATTAATGGAGGAGAGAAATAGCCACATTTAATGACAAAATAAATGGCTGAACAGAGTTATAGCCAGGAAACTAACTGCGCTCCTCTGCATAGACATAAGCGTCAGTAGGTCCTTATTCACTAAAAATTGTACTGTTAGAAATTGGTAGGAATTTCAAATTCCAAAGCCCAAAGTAGCCGTACGGGAGAGATGATCACAATTTTTTTGCCTAAACAAATAGGGTTATTTATTAAACAGCGAGTTATATTGAATGGGTAACAAAATTTAGGCCGAGTTGGGGTAATGGATGAGGTTAAGCGTTTGTTTTCTATCAGTTTTTAGGTTTCGGCAGTGTGTGTTTAGCAGTTAAGATTGTCACTTCACCGCAATTCACCGTTTAGCCAATAAACTCACTGGTTTTCTAAAAATTCCAGCTATTGAAAGTGACATTTTTTTTTTTTAATTTATGAAGGTTTTTATTGTTTTTTTTGAACATTTTTAAATATGAGGGTTTGAAGTGGCACCTTAGTAAATCAAAGCAATAAGAGGGCTATGTTCTGATCTGGCAACTGTTGGAATTCCAAAGTAAACTTCAAATTTAACATCAAACTAGTTGAGCCAGAATGTTTCCAGTGTGTCTGTTTTGGCCTGAATTTCATTTAGGACTCCGGACAATTCTCGCTGTAGTGAATGACCCTGAGGGAGTGAAACAGCTTGTGGGATATTGAATAGACTGATTGTGAGACAGCTCAGTGGTCATTGTATCATGTAGTATTATAAAGTCGATAAAATAATTAGAGCCATCATTGAATAATAACATCTAACCCCCAGAATAAGATATTAAGAGCTGCTCAACTTGGCAGAAGCAGCATCTGTTTCATAATAGAGCACCATAACCACTGCAGCTCATTGTGGTGGATTACCAACAGAACTGGAAAATTCTTCTAAGTTAAATATGCGTCCAGTTCGGTAGTTTTGGTTATTTATTAAATTTGAAATCGGAAAGCTCAGGCTTAGATGTAGAATTGTTTTGCCAGAGCAGGTGGTTTTCAATTCAGGACAATTCCCAGCTTAGTGAATAGATTCTTGTGTTTCAATAGCTTCATCTGCTGAAGTTGTGTTTAAACCCTTAAAAAGACATCACAGTCATGTCGTGATATCACTAACCACTGACCTATAAATAAATAAATAAAATTCCCTCTGGACCTCGACTGAAGAGCTGACTATTATTCTTCTTTCTGTTTGCCAGTGTTCAAAGAGCCGTACACGAGGCACAAAGTCAGATGGCTGCCGCCAGAAACAGTGCGCAGTCAGACAGCAATCCTGTGAGGTGAGACACCAGGGACAGTTTAGAGTAGAAGAAATATGGGCATTAATAATTATGATTATATTAATTGAACACTCAAAGCAGCATAAAAAAACCTACAGCATGCTGTAGTGGTTTTGTTGCCAAAATTGCCCTGACCCCAGTTCCCCCCATCCCCAATGTAGATAGTCAAACTGTTTTAGAACAGCTTACTTTTTGTCTGCCAGGAACCGTTCCCCGTCTCCACTACCTTTGCCAGAGTTTAGCTCATCTAAAGCTCTCAGCCAATGAGCTAGCCCTTGTACTACGTGGATTCACTCAGGAGAGGTAATGGAACCTTTCAGTCAGGAGCTTCAGGCTTTCTGGCTTTGGTGGTGGAGGAAGGGAGCGGCATCCAGCAGACACAAGGTAAGAAGTCTAAAAAAGTTTGACAATCTACGCAGGACATGGGGGCAAGGTTCATGCTGTAGTGGTTATGGTGCTTAGAGCGTTCCTTTAACATTGTGGCTTATTCTCTAAATACTAAACTGTCGTTTCTTGAAACCGGATTGCAAACCTTAAAATTTATTTTAAAAAGTTTCACTTCTCCAATTCATTTCCAGTTCCAGCTGCACTATTTAAAAAAAAAAACATTTGCAATTTGACTTTCAATTCTCTACAGTCTGACGTTTAGAAATTAAGCCCCAGGAATCACAATCTGATGATGGGATGTTAAATGATTATTTTCTTTGTTTATGACAGTGTGTTCGGCATGATTCGCACGACAGACAATCTGTTCGGAGGAAGGTTAAACAGCACAGTGTCACCAAATTCTAACCCCTGGTGAGAAGCTACTACGTTCATATAGTTATAATGGATAGTATGAATATTGTACGACCACTGCATTCTAATATAATGATAATATAACCATGTAATAAATACTGTCTTCAGCTGAAGAGATAACTATTATTTTTCACTCTGTTTAGCAACTCGGAACATGAGGCAGAATATCAGACGTCCACTAGCAGAAACAGCGCTGCTCACCTGAATTGTGGTCCAAGATGGTGAGACACTGGGGAGAGCCAGTAGTGTAGAGAAATATAGCCATGGAGGGGAAAAATTTAATTAAGTTGCCCTGCATTAATTTAGAAAACAAATAGCAGACCTCAAAACAGTCCAGATTTTGGCGGGACAGTCACTATTTTGGTGGGACAGTCCCGTTGTTCCAATTGTCCCATCCGGGGACACCATGGAACTGTCCTTAGGCCTTAGACGCACTGTGAATTGATATTAAGACGGGCAGAGAGTGCTTCAGAAGGGCTCTCTATATAGTCCTGCATATTGTGGGCCAGTTAAACAGGCTTTCAGTTAGCCTGATGTGCTTGATGCCCAGCTCACACAGCCCTTTAGTGGACAGGCCCAGCCCTTTTATGGGTATCACTGTTGATGACCCCCTTGGGGCCTGCAAGCCCACCCATTCCTATCTGCATAGCTCCCAGTCTTGGTATGAAATAATGAATTTGTGGTACCCGTATAAACCTATTGCATGCTTTCACTTGGGGGTTAATTTGCTAAGCATCAAACTGTAGTGAATTGAAAATCCAAATTGCAAAATTTAGACAAAAAGAGTTGGTTTCAGAGTAATCTCCAACCGAGCTGTAATCACAGCTTGACCATTTTAGATGAGACTTAATTTTGCAATTTGGTGTGCAATTCAGCTTTTAGTGATTAATCCTCAAAAATCAATATAATTATTTTCTTTTTCTTTATTACAGTACCTTTTGCATTAAACGCAGAGAGCATGAAAATTCAGGAGGCATCACAAACAGCACCACGTTACCTAATCCTAGTTCCAGGTGAGAAGCGTACATTGTTTTGTCTCTATATTTAACCTCCAATAATTCTCAAAATTAAAAGGTTAATCCAAATAACATGAACACTCCAGCGTTCTGAAGTGGTCATGGTGCTAGGAATTGGTTTGTGCAGCGTTTCAGTAATAAAATACTGAGCCTCTGAAGGTGTACCTCTATGTCTGGCAGCGCCGTTAGCAACCCAGAATGAGAGTTCTGGACTGTTAATGGCATCCATCTTCCACATCTATACCAAGCTGGTGACAGCCAAGAGTTGCAAACCCCTAATCCGCCTGACTCCTTTGTTAGACCGAACTTTGGCATGTCTCACCCTCAGGGGGAGTGATGTCACTGAAGGAGGCGTGCGATCTATGGTGTGTTTTGCCGCTTCCACCAATGTAAAATCTTTAGGTAAAATGTTTTAAACATTTTTCAACATAGATATGGTCATAGCTTGGCTAGTGAAGCCAATTTGTTAATTCACTACAATTCAGTAATAAATTGAAAATACATCGCATGGCAGGATATTTGATTAGTGCTCTTTTTTATAGCAGCATTTTCGGCGTGATACGTACGGCAGAAGGTTGTTTGGAAAGCAGTGCAAATCGAGACACCTCACCAAATTCTAGCACCAGGTGAGAAGCTACACAATTCCTGCATTAATCTCTAACACGGGATTATTTACAAAACAGCTGGAGAAACAGGCATATGTTTCTCAAACCATTTTTATGAATGGGGAGCTAGTGATTGGCTGCCTTAGAGTGTCAGCTGACGCACTTAGCTAGTCATCATCACCCCAGTCTGAGATGGTCCAAAGGTTTGAAAAACCTCAGAGAAGGACAGGGGACAGAGCTCAACAGCGCTGAAGAGAAGTCTTTGGGATTACGGTTTAACCCCTAAATCTAAACTGGCACTAGGGACCTACTGGCACGATAACAGCTTCATTCTGATGAAGTTGTTATGGTGCCCATAGTGTTCCTTTAACTATCAGTAACTAGTTTAGCAGATATAATTGTGCTACACTGTAAAGTACAGAATAATGTTCTTATGCGCAATCAGTCATCATGCTAAAATAGTTTTGATTTGTGAATTTGCTCAGTTATGGCATTTTTTTTATTGCCTATTGCCCAAATCTAGACCCTCAGATACTGTCAAACTTCAACTTCCCCTTTAAGAACGACACAAGATCATGGATGTTGTCGTTTTAAAACATCTGGGGTCTAAATTGTGGGCTCTTGTTTTCATATGTTATCAGAATATCCCTCCAATGTGTTTGTTCATGTTCTAGTTCCATAGATTCAGAGAGAGATGTCGACCACCCCTCCGAAAAACTGCCGCCACCGAAAGACATAGATCTCTCAGAGTCCCAGAACGAATCGGAAGTAAAGGCCTCACATTCTAAACTTCAAGTCCGAGGGAGTAAAAAGAAGAGACTAGCAAGACAGCAACCCGTAAGCCAACCTCATCGTTACCCCAAAAGGAATCGAAAAGTCCCAGAAAGGCTTGTGCTGTAAAACAACTTTTTAACATGTACCAATAAATAAAGCGCATGGCGCTGGTTAACAACAGATATGTGCATCTCTCCATCTTTCTGCTTTTAAATCATTACTGAGACAATCAGAATATTAAAGTGTATCCGTAGGTGTTGTTAGGGATGGGTTTTTGGAGAAAGAGCCTCAGATTCAGGATTCTTTAGCCCCTTATCTTTTTTAGGAAGTGGTCAAGGGGACAGTGGGATGTAAGTTTATTTAAATAGTTGCACGTTCAATGCATTATCCTGATTCACTGCCCTGTTCCCCGTGAGATTTAAATTAGTAACTGGAGGCACCATGGTGAGTCCTGCAAGAGCAGTCAGAGCATAGACAACTGACACATTACAATTTAGTGATAGTATTCTGACTAAAAAGCTAGTTTAGTTTTAGTTGTATTTTAGCCATCTGAATTGTTTTAGTTTTAGTCTAGTTGACTAAATCTCCAGTAGATTTTATTCGGCATGACTAATATCTAGTGGGTTTAGTCAGGGGCGTATTAGCCGCGAGGCAAACAAGGCATTTGCCTTGGGCGGCATTTTTCAGGGGGCGGCAAAAAACGCCGCCCCCCAAATGCCCAGGGCAGATGCCTTGTTAGCCTTGCGGCTAACTGACATCCCGAGCGGGCGGGCGTGCGGTGCTGGCAGTCGGGCGGGCGGCCGGCGAGGGAGCACTTCCCATGAGCTGACTGCTCAGCTCCCTCGCGCACCGCAAAGTGAGGCTGGGAGCCGGAAGATGACGTCATCTTCCGGTTCCCAGCCTCACTCTGCAGCCGACGCGCGAGGGAGCTGAGTAGTCAGCTCATAGGAAGTGCTCCCTCGCCAGCCGCCCGCCCGCCTGCCAGCGCCGCCCGCCCTGCAGCCACCGGACCACCAGGGAGAGAGACGCCCCCCCCAGCACTCCCAAAGGTAATGAGGTTGGGGGGGGATTTAAATTAAAAAAAAAGTTAATGTGTGTGTGTTTGTGTGTGTGTGTGTGTGTGTTTGTGTCTGACTATGTGTGCGTGTGTGTGTGTTTGTGTCTGACTGTGTGTGTGTTTGTGTCTGACTGTGTGTGTGTTTGTGAGTGTGTGTGTGTGTGTTTGTGTCTGTGTATGTGTCTGACTGTGTGTGTGTTTGTGTCTGACTGTGTTTGTGTCTGTGTGTGTGACTGTGTGTGTGTTTGTGTCTGACTGTGTGTGTCTGACTGTGTGTGTGTGTTTGTGTCTGACTGTGTATGTGTGTGTGTGTGTGTGTCTGACTGTGTGTGTGTGTGTGTTTGTGTATGTGTCTGACTGTGTGTGTGTGTGTGTTTGTGTATGTGTCTGACTGTGTGTGTGTGTGTTTGTGTCTGACTGTGTGTGTGTGTGTGTTTGTGTATGTGTCTGACTGTGTGTGTGTGTGTTTGTGTTGACTGTGTGTGTATTTAGAAGGTGGGGCGGGGGGAAGGGTTGGGTGGGGGTGGCGCGGGGGGGAGGGGGGCGCCTGAGTTTTGTCCTGCCTAGGGCAGCACAAAACCAGGATACACCACTGGGTTTAGTAAAGGCCTCTATCTTTCACTTTTTCTCTTTCCCCGGCCCCTCTGTGTCTCTTTGATTCCCCCAGTTGTCTCATTCCATCGCGCCCCATGTGTATTAATTCCTCTCCTCTCTCCCCCTTGTGTCTTTCCGCCAACGTTAATTTTGGTGGCAAATTTCAATTTAGTTTTAGTCATAGTATTTTGACTAAAAAGCTATTTTAGGTTTAGTCTCATTTTGGTCATCTGAATTGTTTTAGTTTTAGTCTAGTTTTAGTCAACTAAATCTCAAAAGGTTTCGTCTACTAAACTCTGACTAAAATTGTTAGTCGACAAAATAAACACTGGTCCAATAGGTAGATCCCCAGATGTTGTAGAACTACAGCTTCCACGGTGCTTTGTCATTCCAATGCATTCTAAAGGCACGCAAAGCACCATGGGAGTTGTAGTTCTACCACATTTGGCGATCTACTTTTTGGGCACCCCTGACCTAGAAATCTAGCTCCTTCTGCCCACCAGGGCCAACGTAGTTCACCAGAGATAAGGCACGAACTTACAAAGACTTACCTCAATCATTCACTCCTATATAAAAAATATATTAATAAATCCAGAATAGTCACCAAGGCGACTTTCAACAGGACAGACAAAAACTTTTTGTAAAGACTAGGAAAGGAGCATAAGTGAGTCTAGGAAGGTATTGTCTTTAGAGGTATCTTATTTATTGTCTATTTACCTAAAATGTAGTTTAATAAAGGCATTATAAAATGTAAACTCACTTTGGATTAGAGCAGGGATAGTCAACCTTCAGCACTCCAGATGTTGTGGACTACATCCCCCCACAATGCTTGTACAACCATAATGCTGGTAAAGCATCATGGGAGGTGTAGTCCAAAACATCTGACGTGCCGATGGTTGCCTTTGCCTAGATTACAATTGTGGAAATTTCTGAGATTAAAGGATTTTTTTAGGATTGCAGTGCCATCTAGTGGATGACAGGGCTAGCAAATTCAAATCATTATTTAGCTACACCATTGATGCCTAAATCCCAGCTGTTGTGAATTGCATGTACGGTATGTTCAGGTAGACGTTATTTATGAAAGTATGCACGGTGTGGCTGAATATTTTTTCCCAATTTGACAATTTCTGGCCTTAAAATGTGATATACCCTTGTCACTTCATTTACAATTCACAGTTTAGTGAACAAGCCTGTGTTTGAAATTCATAACATTTTTGGGATTTATTCGCCAAAACAGAATTGAGGTGAATTGAAAACCACACTGGGAAAAATTAGTCAAAAATGGCTGCACTGTAGAAATTCTCCACTTGGCTTCAATTTTGCAGTTTGGTTCAATTTGTGGTTTAGTGAATAAAATCTTTTATCCCGTACTGTGATTTCACTAGTTTTCAAAGTGACTTGTTAAAAGATATAAACAGGCAAACAGTCCACTTTCTTGACTGATTCACAACCACTTCACACTACGTCAGCGGCAAATACATCTGACTCAATGACGCAACTTCAGTGTCTTCTAAATAGCGTAGTAGAAACAGATTAACAAAAAAATAAAAATAAATATGGTAGTAGGGATTTGATCATTGGCATACCCATTTATACAGTTTGTGTAAAAAAATTAAAATAAAAAAGACCCTATGGGCATTATTATAAAAGCAGAAAAAAATATTAGCATATTGCTTTCTTTCATGTGATTTTTGTTTCATATTACAGTGACAATATAGTAAAAATTACTTTCAACGTTTAATGTCAAACAGTATTTAAATACATGTTTTCCACTTAATATGATGTCTTCATACTTATTAAAATAACTGTTACATGGTAACAATATGCCAACAACATTGAAAACAAAGTGTAACTTGTGTTAAAGGGACATGGTTGTCACCAGAACAACTACAGCATATTGAATTTGTTTTGGTGAAAATGCAGTGTTTACATTACAGCCTAGTGATAACTTCACTGGCCACGCCTCAGCTGGCTGTTAGAGATCCTTCCTGGGTCATGGCTGCCTAAAATGCATCCAAACATTCAGTATCTCCTCCCTCTGCATGCAGACACTGAACTTTCCTCATAGAGATTCATTGATTCAATTCATCTCTATGAGGAGATGCTGATTGGCCAGGGCTGTGTTTGAATCATGCTGGCTCTTCCCCTGACCTGCCTCTTTGTCAGTCTCAGCCAATCCTATGGGGAAGCATTGTGATTGGATCAGGCCACCACTTCTGATGATGTCAGAGGAAGTTCACAGGCAGCAGCTTCAGACTTGAGTACAAGTAAGATTTTACTATCTTTAGGGGCTAGATAGTGGTTTTAACACTATAGGGTCAGGAATACACATTTGTGTTCCTGACCCCATAGTGCTCCTTTAAAGGAACACCCCAGACACCATAAGGACTTCATTAGAATGAAGTTGTTATGGTGTGAGGCGGTCTCCACCCTACTCTGTAAGCGAACGGCCTACCCTCAAAGTCTTGTATCTGGTGTCCAATCACCCTGCCCAGCTATTTCCGTAGCAGTCCTGTTACTACGAAATAAAAAGATGCATTGGCAATTTGACGGGTTTTTCATTTGACGGGTTGTTTGGTTCTTAAACCTAAAGGAAGATTGTGAAAGCTCCTTGACTGCCACAGAAAACCGTCATTCTGACGGTGGCGAAAACAAATTGTCGAAAAGAAGGCGCACTATTGTGATTGTTTTTATACATTGACACTGCCACTATGTAAAACAACAAGATAAAGACGCAAGATAAAACTGTCGAGAATGGTGCAAATGTGACAAATTTGAGTGATATGAAGGAAAAGATAGACACAATCAGAAAGTGTAACAGCTGCTCCACATTTTATACGACACACAATGTGTCAACACATATTCTTTTTTTTTTTTAAACACAGATTTAGGAACAGGGTACGCACGTGTGCATGCGCAGCTTCAGCCCGGCCACCCAAGGCCGTTCATAGCACTCATACGCAGAGTTAGTGCAGTGCCAGCCATTATATATATATATATATCTATCAGTTTAACAATCAGAAAGTCTAAACATTATAGTAAATAAATAAACATAGCAAACAATAACACCTGTCACTCATGCTTTGCTTGTCTTGCATGAAAACTAATCTTTTATTTTTTCTTTTGTCTATTTTGAATTCTTTATAAATGTATTTATTTTTTTGGTGCATGTCACATTTTTTGTTATTTTTATTTTGATGAATGCATCCCACTCCTATTTCCAGAATGATAAATGATAAATACTGAATAAATCCTAGTCTGACATTGGGGCACACTCTGTGCACACTGCAGCCAGCCTACTCTGTGTCCTCAGATGACCTTTAGATGGAATTGCCCGATTCAAAGATGGCGGCTTTATGCCAACGTCCCCGGCGTGACAGGCGGCTGGAGCTACCGCACTTCTAATTGGCTGAACGGTTTATCCGCTCTGCTGCTGTATGATTGGCTGCGCTGATGGCTTCCTACCTACGTTCCTGCTTGTCATTGGCTGCGGCTGACTGTCAGTCTGTGAGTCTGTCGGCAAGATGGCGCTGCGAGCTCTGGTCGGTGTCAAGCGGGTCATTGACTATGCAGTGAAGGTGAGACCAGTGTGAGAGACCCGGGGGTGAAGGGGCAGGGAGTGAGGGGGCAGGCAGGGGGTGAGGGCAGGTGGAGGCAGGGGGGGTGAAGGGGCAGGCAGGGGGTGAGGGGCAGGCAGGGGGGTGAGGGCAGGGGTGAGGGGGCAGGCAGGGGTGAGGGGGCAGGTGGGGGCAGGCAGGGAGTGAGGGGGCAGGGGTGAAAGGGGCAGGCAGGGGTGAGGGCAGGCAGGGGGAGTGAGGGGGCAGGGGGTGAAGGGGCAGGCAGGGGGTGAGGGCAGGTGGGGCAGGCAGGAGTGAGGGGGGGCAGGTGGGGGCAGGGAGTGAGGGGGGCAGGCAGGGGGTGGGGGCAGGTGGGGGCAGGCAGGGCTAGCACTGAGCATAGTGTATAATAATAATAATAATAATACTATAATTACAGAGCCAGCACTGAGCATGGTGTATAATAATACTGAGCATAGTGTATTATAATAATAATAATAATAATTACAGAGCCAGCACTGAGCATGGTGTATAATAATATAATAATTACAGAGCCAGCACTGAGCATGGTGTATAATACTGAGCATAGTGTATAATAATAATAATAATAATAATACTATAATTACAGAGCCAGCACTGAGCATGGTGTATAATAATACTGAGCATAGTGTATTATAATAATAATAATAATAATTACAGAGCCAGCACTGAGCATGGTGTATAATAATATAATAATTACAGAGCCAGCACTGAGCATGGTGTATAATACTGAGCATAGTGTATAATAATAATAATAATAATTATTATTATTATTATTATTATTATTATTATTATTATTACAGAGCCAGGCACTGGGCATAGTGTTTAATAACATAACATAATAATAATTATTACAGAGCCAGTACTGTTACCCCCTGAAAAATTAGCATTTATTAAAGATAGACTCTAAGAAATACTCATTATGATAATTTAACTGAAATTCCAACCCAGTCAATAAATATGTAAACACAAAATAGTGACTACTTTGTCTCTGTATTTCTTCTCCTCCTGACTTTCGTAGACACGAGATGGAATCTAAGTGTCAAGCTCTGCAGCCGTCATCAGTGACCTCTGCAGGGAATGGGCTGTGTCTATGGATGGTCTTGCAGGATCGTCCTTAGACCTCCATGACTGCACCGAAGAGGGACCCCAGTTATGACGGCTGGAAGAAGACCCCACCGGACCGAGATGGTGGCACCCACAAGGGGCAGATTCAGGAAACTCGCCTTTCCGTGCCTCCCCCGGACCACCAGCGGCAATGTCACCGTCGGGGGACTCTGCAAATTTGACAAAGTCCCTAGATGGTGACATTGCTGTTTTAATCCTTGTTCTATAAACAATGTAGGGGAAGCTGCAGATGTATATATTTTATTACAGACCTGCAGTAGGCACCTTTTTTATCTGGACTAACCAAAAGCTGTACAGTTGAGGGTTTTACTATTATTATTTACAATATTATAAAAGGGGAAAATCTAATAATAAATGAGACAATTACAAAATGTTACTGGAATAATAGGTTGATGAGGACACTGCTCAAAGGAGCTTACAGTCTTAAGGTGTGGTATAAAAGCATCTTAAAGTTGAGGGATTTCTTGAAGGGACACTCCAGTGCCAGGAAAACAAATTGTTTTCCTGGCACTGCAGATCACCTCTCCCTCCCACCCCCCATCCCATGTTGCTGAAGGGGTGAAAACCCCTTCAGTGACTTACCTGAGACCACCGCCGATGTCCCTCGGTGGTGGTTTAGGGTCCGCCCACGGTCCTCCCCCGCCGACGTCAGCCGGCGGGGGAGACCGATTGCGCGTGTGCGGCCGCCGGTGGAATGAGACCTAGTGCGCGGCAATGGCGCGCACGCGCATTAAACCTCCCTGTAGGAAAGCAGTGCTTTCCTATGGGGATTTTAGCGACACTGGAGGTCCTCACATAGTGTGAGGACGTCCAGCGATGCTATACACCAGGAAGTGCCCTCTAGTAGCTGTCTAGTAGACAGCCACTAGAGGAGGAGTTAACCCTGCAATGTAAATATTGCAGTTTATGAAAATTGCAATACTTACACTTGCAGGGTTAAGGGTAGTTGGAGTTGGCACCCAGACCACTCCAGTGGGCAGAAGTGGTCTGGGTGCCTGGAAGACAATGGGAGAGTCTGATTGGGGTAGGCATGCTGTTCTAGAGGAAAGAAGCTGCCTGAGAGAAGTCTCGCAAGCACAAGTTAATTATTATTATTATTATTATTATTATTATTATTATTATTATTATTATTATTGCTATTTATATAGCGCCAACAGATTCTGTAGCGCTTTACAATATTAAAAGAGGGGGGATTTGAACAATTACAAGAAAACTTACAGGAATGATAGGTTGAAGAGGACACTGTTCAAACTAGCTTACATTCTATAGGAGGTGGGGTGTAAAACACAATAGGACAGGAATCAAATAAGGTGAGAGTGAGGCAGAGCTGGAGGAAAGAGTAGAGTTCTGCCATTTAGGAGAGAGCAAGAGACAGGTATGTGAGGTAGAGGCTACTCTGGGAGGCCATAAGCTTTCCTAAAGAGATGGGTTTTAAGGCACTTAAATGATAGAAGACTAGGGGAGAGTCTGATGGCAGTAGGTAGGCTAATCCATAGGAAGGGAGCCACCCGCAAGAAGTCCTGCAAGCGTTGGCCGTACGGGTACGAGCAGCGGACAGGAGAAGGTCACGGGCAGCATTCATTACAGACTGTAGTGGGGCAATACTGCTTTTGGGAAGACCAGTTAGGAGAGGGTTAGAATAATCCATGCAGGAAATTACTAAAGCATGTACAAGCTCTTTAGTAGCATAGAAAGGGGCGGATGCGGACTATGTTTTTAGAGAAGGGGCGTAAATACAAATCCGTGAAGAAATATCACAGGGACAGAGTTGTTTAGAGCTTTTAGAGGTAAGGATTAGTACTGTATTTTTAATTGACTCCTATAGGGTACAGGAAGCCAGTGTAAGGATTGACAGAGGGATGAGGTGTGAGAAAAATCAACCTATATCCTAAAATGTGCATATAGCAGGTTAAAATGTTTCATTACAAAGTCTTGCAATGGGCAAATTGTATAACAAAATGTACATGCACTTCATTAAATGTTATTTAAAGGAACACTGTAACGCTAGTCACCAAGAGCTTAAGATGGAGAATTCAAATGGGTATCTGAATGACTCCTATATTTAAAGTCATCCTGTGCCTATTGTGGGTGCAGGGTGTGTGTGTAATGCATTGTTTGGGATTAAATGTTAGTGTGCTCTCCTGTCTTCCTAATGCTTGCAATCAGCTATTTGGGTTTGGCTGTGGAGCCTTTACAGCGCCACTTTTTGGTTGCTAGGATCTAGCAACAGCGATTGGGTCTTCCCCACCCCTTTGTCATTGTGTTATAATAACTTGCTGTATGTTGTCTGCTATGATTTGACTGTTTGTATTTTTGAGTTGTCACAGCAATCTTTATGTAATTATCATATGGGCTAGTCCCAAGTAAAAATAAAGCTTTGGATGCTAGTTCCTTTTGGACGTTTTTGCTGGTCGTAGTATCCCTCTAGCCCTGGGATAAAGCAGGAGAGCTAGGCCTGAGAGCCGCAAGTGTCTTTTAAAGACGAGCTATAACATTGCAGGCGGATGTGGATACCTGTCTGGAAGCAGGGTTGCAGTGTATGAGGCAGAGGGGACGATACCTGCCTGGAAGGAGAGCTGCAGCCTGGTCTGCTGGAAAAGCTCCAGAGGGACCCCGGTCAAGCTTTGGCGACTGGGACTGAAGCGTTCCAGGGTTTTTGGTGCATAGTGTGCACCTTTTAAGACACATATTTTGCATATATTTTGAGGTGTACATTGTATCCACACCTGCTTGTTACTTTTCAGCCTCCCCTGTTCTGTAAGATCTACTGGTACAAAACATTTTACGAGGTCTGCGGTTTTAATACAGTCATTCTTTCATATACATACCAGGATTACAGGACACAGACTACTCTGCAATCACCATTTTTAAGAAATGATCATATTTTGATACATACATTCTATTTTGTGGTAGTACACATATGTTATGGCTTAACCCTAAAATAGCAAAGTTCAGTAGGTTTACAGTCAATATATTGCACTTGTATTAAAATACATACAACAGGGTTAAGGGTTTTATTATGCAACCATGCAAATGACCTCTTTCAGAAGCTGAGTATTCTGATCTGAATATACTGTAGGGCTACATAAACAACTTTGCAGTTGTGATCTCTCAGCTGGATTATGATCCATGCATACTGCAGTGTACCAGCCAAGAACAATACAAGGAAAATGCAATTTTGAAAATATCATATGATGGTGCATACATTATTTCTGATGCAAGAGTCACTTTAACACATATCAGTATTTGTAGATGGCTCAGTAATTTGGTACTCTTATGTAGGATTGTCATTTAAAGGGACACTAAAAGTATCAGCTCATTGAAGTGGTCTGGGTGCAGTGTCCCATGTTCCTTAACTCTGCAAAGGTAATTTATTGCAGTTTTTAAGAAACTGCAATAATTACCTTTCAGGGTTTACTCCACCACTAAGAGACATTTGGTCGCTATGCATGCGGATTTCCAGCATCACTCAAATCCCTATAGGAAAGCAATATATATAATGCTTTCCTTTGGGAAAATCCTAATGCAAGCGCCGCACATGCGCATTAGATCTCCCTTGCTAATTGACGCCGGCAGGAGTGACGTGAAGGCGGACCATTGCCAGCACTGAGGATTATCGGCGCAGATTTTTAACCCCTTCTGCTCCATGGGGAATTGATTTATCAGGATTCTGTTTAGGTTTTTGCATGTGCGCATAAGTGACTTTTTGGGTGTTATTTGCACTTGTGAATATTCTTTGTGCCACTTTTTTCCTTTTTTTTTTTTTTTGAATTTTATTCTTAAATATGTCAATCCCATCTAGGGGTACCAGTTTAGGGTATTACTTAGCAGCTCACAATTAATAAATGCCGCTCTCTTTTGTGCTTTCAGCTGTTTAGTAGAGAACTCCCTGATTTGGTACCCCTTATGTGGGCAGCTCTATTGAAACATACTAAACTAAACTTGGGATCTATCTACTAAACACATGCAATCTCATGCACACATACAGACCTCTACATACTTATATGCACACACAATTTTTATTAGGTTTTTTTCCACCTACCTTTGTCTGGGACAGCTTGAGTGGATCATCTGTCTCACTGTTCTCTTCCTGCACAGCTCCATCGGCTCCTTGTAGTGATCTGGGGCCATTGGTATCATATTCCAGCTCCAGCATCATTGCAGGACATGGAGCTGTGCAGGAAGAGCAGCGTAAGAGCCTAGCTCCTTCACCACGGCCTCAAACCATTTGGGTGCAGTAGGCAAATGCCCGGCAAGTGCTTACTCTGCCTAGCAAGACCCCCAAAAGCATCAGGGAAGAGGTAACCCCCTGGACCACTTCAGGGTCGTGCCGGCCCAACTTGGAGCTGAATGCCCCATATATTTTTTTGTTCATGGGCATTTGTGTGCCTGAAGTTGTATGGTGGGGGCATTATATGGCCTGCACGACTGTATATTGCCGACTTCTGCTGTTAACTATTGCCGGTGCCTAGTGCTCTCTAACTCTGGTGGCTTCTACCTCTGAAAGGACACAAGGTGGTGCTAATTGCAGTACAAGATAATGGGGAGTAATGAACCTCTGAGATGCATGCACCGATATTGCTTTATTTGAAAGAAAAAATAAAATAATTTAGGGCCAATAATCTGTGGCCTTTCAGGCTGACAACCTATACCAATATTCTGTACATTTACAGTTTTGAAAAAAGAAACACAAATCAGCCAGTAACAGAACATTTTTATTTGTTATATTATTAAATGGACACTGTAGACACTGTCTGCTTTATCTCATTAAACTGGTTATAGTGTCTGGAGATCCCTGGTACCATCATTTTATTCTGCATTAAATTGTTTTTAATGTTTTCATGCTGAATGCGAGTCGCTGGCAGCCTTCTGTGCTGCTTTGGCAAATGAGGAAGTATTGGCCTGAGCAATGTGCATCTGAGAGTCTCAGCTGACTGCTTTTAGCCAATCAGAGCTCCAACTGACGACATGAATGGGTAAGACCATAGACATAGAATACATAGATGCCGCAGCGGCGAGAAATGCGGGAGACATCTTGGACCTGGCGCCGCTCTACTCAAGCTATTGAAGAACACTTGGAAAGTCCATCTCACAAAAGGTAAGTGAAGGACTTGGGGCACTTTTAGACCTTAATACTCCTACCCCTGCACACATAGTCATTAATACCCCTGCACATAGTCCTTAATACCCCTATCCCAGCACACATAGTGTTAATGCCCCTACCCCTGCACACTATGGGTATTAACACTGTGCGCAAGGGTAGGGGTATTAAGGACTATAAGTGCCCCAACTCCTTCACTTACCTTTTGTGAGACTTTCCAAGTGTTTTTCAATAGCTTGAGTAGAGCGGCGCCCTGTCCAAGATGGCGCCCGCATTTCTCGCCGCTCAGCACGTAATGCGGCGTCTACGTATTCTATGTCTATGGGTAAGGCTACCAGGAAGCCAGAAGGGGCCATACTGTGGGTAGCCAGGGACCCTTATTAAGTGTTAAATGGCTCAAACATTGTTTAGCACTGAATGGAGGGACAGTGCCTGCGAACTATAGGCACTATAACAATTCAAAGAGATTAAATGGTTATAGTAACTACAGTGTCCCTTTAAATCATTCTTTTTTATTGGTATGAAGTAATTGGCATCTGTCAGCCAGTCCTTTGACCATCCCATTATGTTCACTGAAATTGCATTAGTATCTCCCATATTTATTTTTTATTTTTTTAAAGTAGTTTAACAATTGACCACCGTGTCAATTGTTATATTTATAATTATTATTATTTTTATTTTTATTTTTTTTAAACAATGCAAAATATTCAACAAAAAGGTACCTACATGCTGCTGTCAACTCAAGCCCCTGTTGCTTTATCAGGGGTACAATAAAATGCAAAATACATGAAAAATTAGGATACACTGTGTGCACAAAGTGCTACAATATTGATTTATTATGACATGCAAAGGTGTAAAAAGGGTTTCAACCGTTCATCAGTGCAAATGTGCATTTGAAGTATGTATGTCCATAATATGAGGCTATCCTTAAAGAGTTACCTGGTATTCTGATAACATTGCTCAACTATAACTGCTTGTATTGATTGCCTCGGGTTCTTTGGTGTACTAATAAACAAGTACAGCAATATATACAAAGAATATGGCCCTATCTGTTCTTCATTGATTGATTTCTCTTCGGTGTTTATCGGTGTTTAGCGATCAGGTGAGAGATTTGTTGCCTAGCACCACTAGGAGATAGTGCACTGATGGGTTTATGCAATAAACAGTGAGAAAACAAATACAGCATTTAGAGAGAGGGGGGAAAAGCCTTGTTAGCAAAGGTTTGCAATTGTCTTTTCAACTTGCTTAGTAAATATACAGATATCAGCCCTAATATGTTTGTCAATTCAATAATTAGCTTTTAGTGGAAGCAATAAGGAATCCCGTGAAGAGACATTAAAAATAAATATAAAAAATCCATTTTAAATCCATTGTGTACTCAGATTGCATTGTTGATGTCAGCTAATCCGAATACAGATAGTGATCATCAAAACCACAACAGCCCACTGCCACCTTACCTGGGTGCCCCCCCTGCTTCCCGGTGGTCCAAGCTGGAAGCCTTGTCCATCAGCATTCATTGGCTGAGAACTAGTCTATGCACAACCTGTGCCAACAGAAAATGTTTTCTATAATTGGCATTAGAGGCTTTATAGAGTCCTGCAGCCACTAAATGAGTAGTGGAGATTTACTAAGGCAGAATAGGTGCAAATTGTATTCTGTTGGTTTCCATCGTGATTGCTTCCTATGTAGACATTTGCCCAAGAATAGCACCTATTTTGCGTTGATAAATCTCCCTTCTGTTATCTTAGAACACTTATTTTTAATGTTAGATCAGCACTCAAAGTTAGGGCTCCATTCTGTAACACTGATCCTCAGTGGTTGGAACAGACCTGTCTTTTGCTTGGTGCATGGCAGCTGCTAACCATTATTTACCGTAGCAGTCCAGGGGACCCTCTGATACTGGTTTGAAAGAGCTGTCCCATGGCTAGTTTGGATTGCGTGGAGGACTATAGATTGGCTCATCTGTTTGTCGCTCTGTGCTGAAGTATTGTATTTGGATACAATTTTCTTGTACTTAATATGCTTTGAATAATATAAAAAAGACCCCTGGGTGTTATGATGAATGGTTTTTAAACACTGTTAGTAATGCATGCATACTGAGTCATGTCTAATCAGGAAGAATGACACCCTTTCAGGATCTGTGTATCTATGCTTGACATTTTGAGTTTATAGATGTTATGGTCAATGAAAAACTCTACTAGTTGGGCAATTTTGGGCCTGAAAGTTGAGGATCACTTTGAATTCCAAAACGATTTGCACTAAATAGCCCTGTAAGCATTCTGTGGGTATATGGGTTATTGACTGTTTCTGTAATCCTGTTGATGATTATTAGATAACTAAAGAATACTCTGATAGATGATTGAGTGCTGCTAAATAATTTGTAGTAAGTATATTGTATTACTCGGATGAGGTTAGTTTGTGTAAATTGTATAGTGTGGTGCTGCCCTCCAGTGGCTCCTATAATTCTCTGTTTGGTTTCAAACCTTTAAAAGGTCAATCAACATTCTGATCTTGTGCAATGACCAGCATTTATTTCATTAAGACTGTTTCAGAATGAGAAATTAGGGATTGCTTATATTGTTAATAACCTGTAGCTGGATACAGAATATAGTGAGCACTACACATTCCACATTCTAATTTTTGTTTCTGGTGAATGCTTGTTTGTTACATGCAAGTATCTTTCTGTCCACCAGAGGGAGCTTTTGAAGCCCAATGACAGAACCTGCTATTTCTCTTCATTATTCGATTAAGATTTGACTTACATTCTCCTTATCTTTATTATGTCTAGATAGGGAGAAATTTGGAGGATTATGAAAGCAGAGGTGTTTCCCTTGTTCAACGTTGAAATGTTCTTTTGCCGCATGGCTCTGCGGCTGCAGGGAGGGAGCTATATTATCAGGCCATTCACTCCTGCTTCCTGGCATCAGCTCAAACACAAAGCGAATGTGTCCTTGGAATGTACTTCAATGTCCAGAGTGAATGAATGTTTAACCTCTGCCGCAGAAGCGAGGCATTATTTCATTCCCTCCATTACGCCTCTATCATTTCTCTTTTATGCTAACACATTGAGTCCTCAGTGTGGATTTCACCCCACTGCTGCTAAAGGGTTAACGTTTAGGGGATTTAATCTGTGTGCTGCTTGGGAAACAGGACAAACATTGCAACCATGGGTGTTCCAGGTCTTTTTTAGTAAAGGGTTAATAATCTTACTTTGTCATAACAATGCATGATAGCTTGAAGCTGTGGAATTTAGGAACCAGAATCTTTCATTTGCAGTCAGCCTTGTGCATTGAAACCCTTCATTTTGTAATACTAAAACCATTAAATGGCAGCCGTTCATAAACCTGACAATCTGTAAAAGGTCGCTTTCATTTGGCTGATGTCATCCGATATAAAAACAAAACAAAACACGAATAGATTTTATTTTAAGTTCATGAACCCGTATGTCAAAATCTTTACAAGCCAAGTCTTAGTTCGTTTAATGTAGATATATTTTTATTTTGATTAGTAAATATGAGGGTATGTCTGCCAGATCCATCATAGATTTCTGAGTACACATCTCTTATTCTAGCTGAAGGAGAAAACATGAAAAATAGCTGGAACGTAGTATGTTGCAGAAGGGTTATTAGTTAACCAATCTTTCATGAGTGGTTTTATATCTCACCTGCAGCATATGGATTCAACATGCTGGGGGGCAGGACATCTAATATACAGCTTGTCGGGGTGAAAAAGCTTTTATGTCTAGGAAAGCATAGAGATCTAGCAGCCCTGAATGGTGTATTGTATCCCAGCTTGGAAAATGCTAGTGATGTCATGGGTTTGTGGGATATTCTCATCATCCGAGGATTTTCATGATAGATTTTGTGGATGCTTATATCTGGGATCTCTGTGAGAGTTTGTCTAAGAATATGTCTGGTTGATTTTTAAGTGGATCTTTGGTGCTTCAGCTCTTGGTCACTACATTTCCCATGATGCACTAAATGTAATCCACAAACTCTGGTTAGCTGACATTATTCTTCAAGATGCTCTAAAATTTACATTTTACCTTTACTTGTAGGAAGCCTGCATCTTGTAGAAGACACGGCTGCAATTATTTTATCTCATCAGCATGTTCTGTGACCATACTTAGATGTCTAACTGTATTCTGATTGGATAAGGAGACATGGTAGTCAATCTGAGTACAGCGTTGTTTTTACATTTATCAGATGTTTACTTACTCTGGTCTCCTGTTGCTGCTCTAATTGCTAAATCCTGTGAATATTACTTTTCTTTGAGTATGTTTTTATGTTTCACGTGAGACGGATAATAAAGATTTAATAGCGATCTTCTAATGCAGTTCTGTATGATTTACATAAACAGTGTCTGAGTGTCACTCCTTGTCTAATATAAATGTTGTATCACTGAACACCCGATTTTTCCTATTTCTAGGTAAGAGTAAAGCCTGACAAGACCGGAGTCGTAACTGATGGCGTCAAACATTCGATGAACCCTTTCTGTGAGATCGCAGTGGAAGAAGCTGTCCGACTAAAGGAAAAAAAGATTGTCAGCGAAATCATTGCTGTAAGCTGTGGGCCCCAGCAATGCCAGGTAACCACCCTAGTCTATTGTACTGAATACCGAGTTTCATGTGGCCCCAAGTAGGGCAATTTACTACCCTAGTCTATATTACTGATTACTAAGCTACATGTGGCCACAAGTAGGGCAATTTACTACCCTAGTCTATATTACTGACTTACTAAGCTACATGTGGACCCAGGTAGGGCCATTTACTACCCTAGTCCATATTACTGATTACTAAGCTGCATGTGGACCCAGGTAGGGCCATTTACTACCCTAGTCTAAATTACTGATTACTAAGCTGCATGTGGACACAGGTAGGGCCATTTACTACCCTAGTCCATATTACTGATTACTAAGCTGCATGTGGACCCAGGTAGGGCCATTGACTACCCTAGTCTAAATTACTGATTACTAAGCTACATGTGGACCCTGGTAGGGCCATTTACTATCCTAGTCTAAATTACTGATTACTAAGCTACATGTGGACCCTGGTAGGGCCATTTACTATCCTAGTCTAAATTACTGATTACTAAGCTACATGTGGACCCAGGTAGGGCCATTTACTACCATAGTCTATTTTACCGATTACGAACTACATGTGAACCCAGGTAGGGCCATTTACTACCCTAGTCCTTATTACTGATTACTAAGCTACATGAGGACCCCTGTAATGCCTGATACCGATCCTAGTCTCTATTACTGAATACGAACTACCTGTGACTCCCAATAATGGCCTGCACTGAGCATACTCTATATTACTGAAAACCAAGTTATCGGTGGCCCATCAGATACTGACCATGGTCTATATTACTGAATACCTTAGGGCCCAGCAATGTTGAGTACTGATTGTTACTGCATAATGTAAAATACTGAGGTAGTTGTGTCCCACTAGCAAACATTCTAAAGGCAGATCTTTTCTATATTGTTGTCCTCTGTGGGAATTATGCAGCACATCAGCAGATTTTTATTTTTTTATTTTTTTTCTTCTTCAGTGCATAGAGAAGTATACAAGCTGATATTGATATTTTATGAGAGAATAAACATCACAAACAATCCTAAAAACTGCCACTAAGCATCAAGAAATACTGCACAGTTTTGTGTTTAAAGGAACACTATAGGGTCAGGAACACAAACATGTCTTGCTGGCCCTATAGTGCTAAACCCACCATTTAGGTGGCTTGCCCCCTACTTAGCCCTTTTAAAAGCAATTAAACCTCACCTTACTTCCAGCGCCGCCCAGGTTTGCTGGCACTGCCCCCCCACCCCTTTGGTGACATCAGAATTACCGTTTTTTGGGGGGTTTTTTTTGCCAATCCAATGGGCCATTTCTCCCTTTCAAGGACCATTTCAGGCTTGTAGGCCGCAAAATAATTTCAAACCGGACGTTGTGAAGATCATATTAATATTTACATGTTTTGATATTATAAGCATTGATTATATGTACATAAAACACTCCAATTGTAGAGAATACAAATGGGAATCACATTACTTTTAAAAATACAGCCAACTCACACCTGTCGGGGGCGGCCAGGACGCTCACATGGTCGTCTGAAACGCACACAATGACAATGGTAGAGACTAACTGAAACAATAAAAAACGACTTACCAAAGGTTGTGGCTGTCCAAGACTGGACTATGCCACCCACTAAATGGAAAGTCACACCTTAAATGACACTCCAGTAGTGTCAAAGGGCATAACCTTAATTAAATATTAAACAACAAACTTCTTGTTACTGGTTGCTGAGACCAGAAACAGAAATGAACTGGAAAATCAAAAGGCAAATAAATAAATATAACCAATAAGGAGATAGATCATAGAAATCTATAGAGTGTTCATATATGGAACTAAAGTGAATTGACGTAGCCTAATGGCTATTGTCCTGTCTGAAAGGACTCTTAGGCATTAATTTACTGTTTAGACTCAGGACTTAATATGATCAACTAAAATTGTCCATGTCTAAAACATATGCATGATATTCAAAGAGCCTTATAATAAACTCCTGTGGTCTAAAGGGAAAATAAATCAAATCAAAACAAAACAGGCTTGATTGTAGCTAAAGAAATAGTTGAACTACTAAGTAGAACAAGTAAAAAGGGTCAAAATGATCCCTCTAATAATTGTATCCAATTACTGTTACTACAAAAATGGTAGAGACTACACTCAAGGTAATTCGCTAAACTTAGAATTTCTGCTAAATCTCAAAGTTGAAGCAAAAACACACATGTTCGGATTATAGCAAAGTTAGAGAATATTTTCAGATTAGCTTTTTTTTTTTTTTCTTTCCATTTTTTTCCATTCAGATATAATTTGTGGAAATGAGTGGACGGCTGGAGAAGAAAAGAGAAAATTCTCCCCAAACTATATTATTGGTAATAGAGTTGGAGCCTGAATGGTGTAAAGTTTGCTGATCATTCTAAAACCCAGTGAAGTTTTAAATAAAAATGTCCCAGTGCGATTAAACCACCCCTTTACAAAAAGCTGTAGTTGTTATTTTGCTTTGAGCCTCTATAAAATGACTGAATGAAAATCAAATATATGTATTGGTTGTGTGGATAATTTAACCCCTTAAGGACCAAACTTCTGGAATAAAAGGGAATCATGACATGTCACACATGTCGTGTCCTTAAGGGGTTAAAGGCAATTAAGAGATTTTGATCAAAACCGATTTTTGGTAAAATTCACCTTGGTCAGAATGCAGCTGGATTTCAATTCAAACATAGGTTTATTCTGTAATTTGTATTTATTAATTTTTTTAAAAGTGCTACACCCCAAACTGAAAAATGCAACCCAACAGGAAGTTTAAGGAAGTATTGACAAAACCTGCAGAAAGTAATATGCTGTTTTTCAGCTCTCTGGCACTGAAAAGGTAAAGCCATTACCAACCAATTCAGCCGAAGCTATTACTCCTCCTGAGCAGGGACCATCGGCTGTGATTGCTGCCGTTTCCTGGGGGAATAGGTTAAATGCAGAGCAGGACAGGTGCTATGAGAAAAGGCACTCTCCTAAAGTGCTGGCCTTGTGTATGACCGAGACACACTGTCACACACTTAAACTAAGCAATTCTTCAATGTGAGCTGTTTTTATTACACCTGGTATATCGCGAGGCAGCTACAGGTGATTGGGAAGATCAATCTGTCTGCATTTGGCATTATGGAGCTCAGCCCCTAATACTATCGGTACTGTGGATATTTGTTTATTAAACGGTCAATAGATTTACTAACATACAAAATGTAAAGCCAATTCTGATGATAAAAATAGATCAACATGTGCCTGTAGGCCACCAATAACATTCAGTGCAAGTGAACGAAACCTACAATTCTCAGACTGGCTTCCAGCCTCACTGTATGTCCTGATATGCAAATGAGGAAGCTAAATGTAGATACATCTGCATTACACTACTGCATTTTTTTTTTTTTAATGTTCAGTTAATTAGCCTATTTAATTTAGATAATTCATAAGGTGAGCTTACACACAATTGTGTGCATGCTCAGTAAGTCTCATTAAAGGCCTTTTTCATGTAAAGTAAATTTCTTCTATAGTGTCTAGTACCAATGCACCAAAGTCTCATTTACTTTAAGGCACCCTCTAAACACCAGACCACTACACCACTCCTGGACTCATTGATGGAGCTATGAGCTATAGTATAAAATACTGTTTTATCACTTTAATACACTTGTTTTACTGCAGGAACATAACCCTGGCATCACGACCACTTCAATAAGCTCACTTTGGTATGATGCCTATAGTGCCCCTTCACGCCAACATTTTACACTTGACTTCCATTGCACTAAAATATTGTGCTTTGTAATTGACATTAAACCGTTTGTTTTTGCTATTTTATACCTCTTTACGAATTACTGTAGGAGCATAATAATGTGTTCCTTCAGACTAAAACAAAATGAATGTGGATGTGCAAGAAAGTCCATTGACTAAAACCTATGCCAGCACTTATTTTGAGATAAAATTCATAGCATTTCCGACGTTGTTGCAGTCTAGTCCATCAATCTGGCCTCCTGTTTAAGTGAGCTTCGTCTTTAAATCTTTGCATCAAATATTGGTTATATTTTTAATGGTATAGTCCTGTCAACCGGAGATTCCAGGGGTCAGTCTATTTAATGCGCTTTTGGCTTGTAAATTGCCATTCAATGAGTTACATTTGCCCAGGGAAAAACAAAGGCAGCATGTCCTTCCAGTTGCACAGGAATCTGTAGCATAAGCTAATTTAATCTTGCCTCCACAGTAATGTTCTTTTAAACATGCTCCGGGGCCTGTTTCGCTACCTAGGGTTTGAAAATGAACCTAGCTGTCACATCGCCTGAGAAATGCTATGTCCCAGCAGCCGTAGTAAAAGGCATTCGGGAGAGCAGGGGGTAGAGGAAGGGAGGGGAGCCCTGTCACTTCTCGTTATAGTAAAAGACCGTACAAGCTCCCTGGCGCAGGAGCCGGGCAGTAATTGGCGTTATTGATGGATTTGTCTGTGTATCAGTCAGAGAGACCTGCGAGACCTGGGGCTGGAGCCATTCGCTGCTAAAAGTGCAATACGAAGACGCAAGACACATTGCACACAGTTTTACTACATATTAATCACAGATTTCTCACTTGGCTGAACCAACCTTAAGGTTTTAACCATGTAATTTGCTGTGCCTTGACAATCCCTCTGGCACTCCAGGGGTTAAATGACCTACACATTGTACTATACATGGACACACTTTGCAGAGGCACACAGTGCATACAGCAAATGTATGGATCACATTAATACAATAGTTAAAGGGGTCATAAAGCCCCCCCTGTACTTTCTTTAAATGTATGGGATCAACAAAGGAAATTGGGATTCACACCTGCTGCTGGATTTCATAGATGCCTTAGCAGAGCATACATGCTAACACTCCAGGTGAACAGCGCAGAGGTTGTGACGTAGTCTGCTTTTGGTGTTGAGTGCCAGTCTCTGTTTAATCTGTGCTGCGCATGTTTAATTGGCTCACGAGTCTGACTATGTGTGGAACATAGTTGCAGATGATATATTTAACATTTCTTATATTTAACATGTCTCCCAGGACAGAAATCACTTCTTCGTGTTGACAGACAGCTTATGAAAAACGCTGCCCAGTGGTATGCAGCATTTATATTCTACATGATTACTTAACGATTAGTGACTGAAACCATCAATCTAAATGCCATAACCACTTTACATGCAAAGCTTATATTGCAGGCAACTTTAGGGAGTGGAAAAGGCAGTAAAAAGGCCTTTGAGTGGTGGCAATGAGGAGAGCAAGTGGTCCATAAAGGAGGGCGTGTATTTGTGCTTTACCTTTGGGTACAGTGCGCAGTGCAAGGCATTGAATGCTGGGATCGTTTCCATGGTCTCCCCAGACGTGGAATATGAGAGAACTGGCATGGTATGGCGGGACTGAAGCCCAAATACAGCTGTCCGGTCAACCTGGATCTGTTGGGAGGTATGCTAGAGTATATTAATATTTTGCAGATTGCTGTATCTACCTGCTCGCTTCCAGACATCCAAGGTGGAATTCACACTGTAAATGCGGAATGTATTAAAGATACTCTTATTAAACTGAAATTATCTGCACTAAATGACAAGTCTTGAATATTGGTGTGTAATCATATCGAATATCAAGGTTTATATATTAGACACAGGTCTGTTCAATACGCCGTGCAATATGCCATGAATAGAAAAGGGCACAAAATTATTTCATTTGTTGTTCAGCAGGGACCAAATATATTGATTTAATGAGCAGTGCTGCTGTCTCAGTAAGATACGACATTAGTTCTCCCCTCGTTTTGGGAATCTTTTGTTTTCCAGCTTTCCTGTGACCCTCTTCCTTCCCAGTACCCTGAGCTGATTTGTACATTTCATACAGGATCAATGTGCTTTTTGCTTGGATTTTGATCATCTCAAGCAAACCAAACTCCCTGTTGGTTCAGATCCATTAACAATCAGACCAGCTGTCAGCCTCCAGCGTACCATGTGAGTGTGCGCAATACTGTGCATCACTTCTGAAACTGACTATGCGACTTCTTTGATACCACAGAGAGAATCAGATTGATGTCCGATTGGGTATACTACATCAGTAACCACCGTTCCAATAAAAATTATTTAAACATTTTTAAAAGTGTGTGTGTGTGTGTGTGTGTATATATAATGATGCAAGCATTTAACATTAACAAAATCGGTCTGTCTTTTTAAGCAGCTTCCTGATGTTTAAATTAGGATGCTACTTGACTAATCATAACGTCCATATTGTGTTAAGTGGGAGGCGAGCATATTAAGGCTGGGAGCAATTTTGTTTAAACAAATGTACAGATCAACAAATCTAGTATTGTAAACTTGCTTCATTCACTCCCAAGCTCGCCATCTGCGCAAAAACCAAGATAGAGAACTCATTTGCAAAGGTTTCTTTTTTTCTAAAGTTCAAATAAACAGTTGATCATTTTGCATAATTGATAGACGTTTGCAATTATTCTCACACTAAGCAAAAACATATGGTGCATGTTTAGTAAGTCTCTTTATAGACATATTACGCTAGCAAAGGTCCAATACCTATTCTCAAAGTCTCTTTATAAAGACCACATGCACAATGGCTATCAACTTACTGATGGATCTATTCACTTCTGTGAATGCGACCACACACGTGCACTGCTTCTGCCCAGTTCCTTCACAATAAGCTGGGAAGGAGCGTGTCAGTAGCGGTGGGAACTGACGTAGTGTGTGCCTGTCATGTTGACTTACCATACAAAACCTTTGACAGGCAGGGCAAGACGTTCTGCTGTGATCCTCTATAATGTGGGCTCATTGAGCAGAGCCCTCCATCTCTCTGTACGTCCAGTTGTCTGGTTACAATTACATGTCTGTTAGTTTACCCATTGTACAGCGCTACAGAATCTGATGGTGCTATATAAATAATAAAATAATGTGAGTAGTGGGTTGGCTTATGGCTGTAGAGATCTATTTTATTTTTCCTGATTCATTGCAGTTATAAGTTGTATGCAGGGTGAAGGGTCAGGAGACCTGCATAACCCCTGCAATGACCTAATTAACTGCCAAGGAGGTCTGAGGACTACCTGAGAAATGCCAAAGCAGCTCCGTGTCAATGCAAATGTTCTGGTGGAGAGAATACGCTGCACCCAGACTTTGTGCCAAAAATTGCTTATAACTGCGGCAGTTTACAAAAATGGCTGCAGCTATACAAACCTGCCCAGTGGAACTCAGATATCAATGGAGGAATTCTCTTTATTCTTTGTCGTCCAAGAGCCTTCTTACTTTTGCATATAACATGTACGCATAGACTGATCGATTTGTCCTGTTCTTCAGAGGGTCTGATTGATGGAGCCTTATCTTTGTCAGGGTTCAATCTGATTGAAACCATGTTTGCATCTTTGATAAGTTTTGGGTTTGTCAGAATGTGTGTGCCTATTTATTCCATTAGAAAATAGGGAGTGCATCCTTGGCTATTTTGTCAGTTTAAGGGCCAGGCAGCTGTCTATCGTTGTTTATATACAAACCTGCCATTTGCTGCAAACCTCCAGGTTTGGCAGCCTCTGCATTGAGCTCTGGCCACACTGGAAAGTCATTCAGCCTATTACCTCTCTGGTAGCACTTTTAAACTCTCCTATAAGCAGTAGTTGCTGATCCACTTTCGGTGTCAACAGGAACCTTGAGCTACAGCTATTAAAAAAAACAAAGTCCTATTTTATTAGCAAAACGGGAAACGCTCAGGGTTAGTATAGAGAGGAGAAACGGTCAATTCACAAAGATAAAACACATTTTAAAATTAAAGTAGACCATTAAAAACACATTTCACTAAAAGTAAATGTGCAAAAGTAAGAATTCAAAGTGAATTTGACATTTAAGGCCAAAGAAGCCAGACTGGATAAATTATCGAAATCCCCTATGCTTCAAATGCAGATATTTTGGCTTTAAATTCAAAGTTCACGTTGAATTCCCATTTTTAGTGAATAACCATATTAGAATGAATACAGTTTATGTTCAGCTGGTAGGACAAGTATTGGGACCAGGATTGTTCTCAGCTCGTCCACTAGGTGGCTTTACTTGTATTGGAATTATGTTGTGAGAATTCTGATTTGGCTGTTGTATTACATGTATGTGCATCAGTTAATTCACACACACCATGCAAAGTGTGTCATCCCTGGACATTGTAAGATACCAGACATTAATATGAGAGTGAGCCAAAGTACATGTATATCTTAATGGTCTTTAACTATAAAGGAAACTTTATTGCAAGCATGATGTATAAACTGTTTTGAGTGAACTTATCTGCAGATGGTTCCTTCTTTAGAGATGATGGCGTGGCAATTCCTAGCCCGCAGGTACACCCTGTGATGTTGGTGCGACTGCAAGCACAGTTGTTCTTGGGATCCATGTTTGTAGATTTATTTATTTTATTATTTTTTTCATACGGTGTCAAAAATGTGAGCATTTAATTATACATTTGCTAGCAATTGGGTTTACCGTGGAATAAAATCAAAGCAGAATATGTAAAGTTTTGTGAATTGTAGTGAATTTTTAGAGTGAAAGCCTATTAAAAAAATAATTGATGTGGGAAAAACTGTTGTGCCTGCTGTTATGGTGTCTGTACTACCCTGGCACCAACACAGTGTAATTTGTCACACTGTTTTTAGAATGGTTTGATAACTTATCTGGGTCCTGCTGGACACCCGTACTGCAGCTTCTGCTTTCTGGATTCTCCCGCTGCGAAATCTCATTAGCTCATCTGAGCAAAGCAGGCCACTCTCAGCCAATGAGCGCAGTCATGTACTGACCTTAAAGGACCACTATAGGCACACAGACCACTTCATCTTAATCTTAATGAAGTGGTCTGGGTGCCTGGTCCATCTAGGATTAACCCTTTCTGCAGTTTCTGGTCCATCTAGGATTAACCCTTCTGCAGTTTCATAGAGAAACTGCTATGTTTACACTGAGGGTTATTCCAGCCTCTAGTGGCTGTCTCATTGACTGCCGCTAGAGGTGCTTCCGCGCTTCTCACTGTGATTTTCAGTGAGAAGACGCCAGCGTCCATAGGAAAGCATTGAGAATGCTTTCCTATGGACTGGCTGCGTTCGCGGCTCGTGCTGCGCATGCGCATTCAGCCGATGACTGGGAAAGGAGGGGGAGAGTCCCCAGCACCGAGGGAGCTCGGCACTGGGAAAAAGGGTAAGGGATTAACCCCTTCCTCACCCTAGAGCCTGAGGGTGAGGGGGACCCAAGGACCCTATAGAGCCAGGAAAACATACACTTATAGTGGTCCTTTAATTTGCTGCAGAGGCACATCAACCTTCTACCACAAAAGACCAGAAGTGGCACGGCCTGAAGAAACAAAGGTAAGTTGTCACACTGGTTTGACAAATTACTCCAGAATGACGGTGAAATTGTAGTGCTAATGGTGCCTGGAATGTTCCTTTAAGAGATCTATGCAGCACTTTTCCCATTGTAACTAAAGGACATGGGTTGTTGGCTTGTATTCACTAAACACTATTTTGTAAAGAAATGAAAATCGAATGGCAAAATTTAGATTAATATAGATTATATGGAAGGTGCACTAATGGCTGTAGTCACCGCTTTTTCCAGATTTTTGCAATTTAAGTATTGGTTTGCTACAACGCAGTGTTGAGTGAATGAAACCCCTGTTTATTGAAGGAAACTCAACCAGAATGTAGCTGTAACTCTGGTTCAAAAACTATTCTTTAAAGCAATACTAACCTGACCCCAGCCACCCCCCTTTATCTTGCAGCCGTGATGCCAGGTTGCAGCGCAGCATTGCCCTTTTTGCTGTGTATCAGCGTACTGCCTTCTTACCCTGTCCGTCCTGGCCCCCCTCATCACGTTATGCTCTCCTGATGGAGCCCAGATGAACATTGCCTCATTCGCAGGGTAAGCCCTTCCCCCCGCGGCTCATTCATGCCTGCAGTGCGTGCGGCTTCAGGATCCAATCCACAGACCTGTCAGTTCTGCTTTTCTGCTCTAGTAAATTTTGCTAAGACCCTTCCACACTTTGATTTAATTTTTTTTTCTCTCTTCTGTTTATTAAATCTAAGCAGGATGAAGGCACTTGCTAGTCATTACTGAAGCTCAAGCATTCCTATGACCCACACTGAAATCACTTTCTTTCCCCTCTTAACATGGACATTGCTAGCATGCTTCCTCCCCGTGACATTCACATGGGTCCAGATTGTGTGCTCAGCAAGCTGGGACTTCCACATTGTCTTTGTTCTATTGATGGGTTTGTGAGGCTCCAACATATTCTGTAGTGTTGTACAATGACCTGGGGATTTTCCCATGGTTTTTATGTTTTTATCTAACTCTCTCTTACATTTACATTTCTGGGATTGCTAACCATCTTGCATGGCAGCTACCTATGGACATTGCTTCATGGAGCTTTTGCTAGTAATCATAAAATGTTCATATGCCACCCACCTGACCCTCTACCCTTTTATAATTATGTATGTGTGTGTGTGTGTGTGTGTGTGTGTGTGTGTGTATTTTATATATATATATATATATATATATATATAATTTCCCATCCTCCATTTGTGTCTCCTGTGTTACTTATTGACAAGCCCACAACGCTTGCTTCCCCAAATGTTTATTCTCCCACCTCCCTGCTTGCAAGATGCTGGTTTCTTGCTTTCTGTGTACAATGTGCCAGGACAGTGAGCCCATTAGTACGTTTCACATTCAGGCTTTTTGTTTCCGAAGCTGCACCAATCAATGGGCGTGCATTTTTTCCTTGGCACTTCTGGGGGTTTGGTACATTCCTGTGAAATTTGCAGCTAAGCAGAGTTATCGAGACTGATTACCAAGGCTGCCGCTGAGATGTTTTTTTTGTTTTTTTGTTGTTTTTTTTTGCTGCACCCGACACCCCTCCCCCCCCTTGTGACCTGGAATATTTCTCTTCCTTTGCCTAAAGCACAAACATTTTGAAAATATTCAATTTTAGAGATTATGAAAATATTGTGCTGCTGAAAACATAGCTAGATCTCTAACACATAGAACAACAACCTTTCTAGAACTGAAGCTACTGTTCAGCCCATAAATATTTTGTCCGTGACACTCGTCTTGGCATTTTTGACTCTGTTGTCCAGCACCTTTTGGTTTTGAAATGAAACCATATGAGAGTAAGGTGCCGGCTAAAATTTCAGGATATTTTCACCCTTAAGCCATGAAGGATTTTTCATATTTTAGTCACTGTTTCATTTCAAATCCAGTGTCCCACGAAGCACAGTGCCAAATCGCATAACTCGTGTCTGCATATATTACACCAAATAAACTGGTACATCGATCGTTTGTACTTTATGTACTGCTACGGACTACAGGACATCTGATTTTTGTGCTGTGAAAGTCTTGTTATTCGACCTTTGGAGAGTGATTGTTAACCTATTGGTACTTGTCGCAGTCTTGGCGTTCTGCTATGGTGGCTTAGTCAAAGCTCTGCTAAGCCAAAACATTACCAGTCTGTGGAACACTTTAAATCTAATGATTGACTATTCTGCTGCGATTGCCGTTTACGTCCAATCATGGTTGCTGCCGTGCAAATGTGCATGAGGTCACTTGACAGAACATGGCTTCATATTTTCAACCTGCTTTCAAGCAAACTTCTAACAAAAATAGAATGTCTAAATGTGGTAATAATTAAGGATGCACGTATGCCTCTGGCCTAGCTCTCAAGGTAAAAATGTTATGGTTTAGTTGGTTTTACATGCATCGGTGCAAACCGCAAAAGCATACTGCAAGTACTCGAAATGCTTTCATGGTTCTGTAAGAGTGGGCTAACTCACGGTCCACAGCACAAATCAGGAAACCTATGACATTTAAGTTGTACTTTTGCCATTGGGTTTGGTAGCATTATTAAAGAGTAGTAGGGTTATTCACTTAATCAGTGTTTCCCATAACAGTCCTCACACCCACTAACAGTCCAGGATTGGGGGATTACCAAGAGGGGAGAAAAAAACCACCTTAGACATAACTGGGTAATCCCTAAATCCTGGACTGGTTTGGGAACCACTGCAATAAACTGTAAATTGTTGGAAATTCACTGAGGAACTAACATTGTCTTTCATAAATGGCTATTTTGACCTTAAATTTGATTTTCCGGTGAATTCTGGAGAACTTAGTCTAATGAACAATTATGTACTTTTGTAATTATTTATTTTTTAGAACTTGAAGCCAAAAACATGTTTATGGAACGTTGGTCTGTTTTTAAACAATTGAAAGCAAAATGAACGAGAGTATTGCTGCAGCAAAACTTCATAAGCATCAAATCTCAACCATGTAAAAATGGATTTATGGTGTGGATGTAAAATATGTGCGTAAGCCCCTCCTCAGCTCCCCTTTATATAACCCCTTCTTATGTTGTCATCTGTGTAGTTCACAGATTTTATAAAAGTTCAAAATTCAGGGTGTATGGTTTTAAATACCTGTATAGTTTCCACTTCTCGGCCAAGCAATTCTAAGTCTATCACTTCATTTAAAGATAAATTGTGACATGAATTGTTGTTCTCTGGTCCTATTCTATTCTACACGTATGAGTCCATCTGATCTCACACTGCTCTCTCTATTCTCAGGAAACTATCCGGACAGCACTGGCAATGGGGGCAGACCGTGGTATTCATGTGGATGTGTCTGCAAAGGACGCTGAAAGCCTTGGACCCTTCCAGGTCTCGAAGATCATTGCTGCTCTGGTCAAGAAGGAAAATGTCAACCTTGTGCTTCTGGGAAAGCAAGTAAGGCACAATGAATGCCATTCTCGGTTATTTTGCCTAGTACCACTACCTGTGTTTGCCCCTAGAGGCCGCTCTTGGCATTACTGTACATATGTGTAGGTTAGTGGATAGAGCCTCACGTGCAGTAATTGTGTGCGGTTACAGGTCAATTTACCCTGAAGGCACCTCTGTGCTGTCATTGACCATCATCAGAGCTTTGGAATTTGCAGCAAATAATGAAATTCTAAGAAACCTTTTTATTTTATTTTTTCTTCCTTCCTCCTTTTACAGACATTTTCTTACAATACGTGATCGATAACCCATTAGGTTTATTCACTAAACACTGTATTGCTAAATTTAGGCAGAACAGAATTTTTTCAAAATGTCCTGTTTTAGCCTAATCATTGCAGTTTGTTTTTATATTCACTTCAGTGCAATGTTTAGTGAATAAACCCCCAGTGATATCGGAGTTCTTGGAATCCCGAGTATTGGGTTTCCATTCAATCTTATTAGATCACTTTACATAAGCAATAAAAGAACATACTATTTTATAGTAAAGTAGTGTGATTTTCACATTCACACGATTTCACTTTAAAACATTAAATGCATGATCTCTGTAAATTAATTATAGGAAACTTTATCCTAATAGGGTGACACTTCCTCATACAGATTGAAGGCAATGGGATGAAATCAATAATTTTTTGATTTTTTTTTTTTTTTGCTAAAAGCATTTATTTGGTAACATGCAGAAAGAAAAGCTAATCCGGCTGATTCAATGCATGATGTTCAGATACATTTATTGTACTTTTGTAGCCTGGAGTGTCTCTTTAACTTGTTGTAGCAGATTGTCCACAAGGACTGTGACATAGACTTTATTACCTCTGGAAAATCTGAAAATGAATCAATGCTTCCGTCGGGTCACGGACCTTTGCAGTAGCCGATGAGGATAGGTCGCTAGTGATCACTGTATCGCACTAATACAATCTTCTTTGCAGCCAGACTATGACATGTTTGGTAGTCTTCCAGAGACCTTGAGAACTCCTAAAACACAATACTAAAGCAATGAGAGTGTCACCTTGAAAGGATCTGTAAACAAGTGAGAGAAACATTATATTCTAGGATTGCCAGCAGAGCATACAAGCAAATACATACCTCAATGTAGTGTGTTGTTTTTAAAAAAAAAATTTATTAAAGGTCCTCATTGTCATTTGCAACTTTTAATAATTTTCCTTGTGTAATGTGGGGACATTATCAGGCATCCAGTCCGCTCATCTGACCATCAGAAACTTTTTTTTGTTTTTCTCCTCTTCTCTTAAATGAAAACTGGGTAATGCTGTAAAACAATGTTTTCTCTAGAGTTGGTAAAGCAAACCAGGACTAGATTTGAATGTTTAAATGATGCTTCATTACCCATAGCTGCACACTGAAAGTCATTGGTTAACTGACTCTGGAAGGAGTGAGCATTCATAGAAGTCTCTGCATATATTTACATTGCAATTATTCTTTGTCAACCTTTTTAGACTTCGTAGGTGAAGCCAGGCCTTCAATCAAATGTTTCATTATTTGATATCATTTTTATTTGTTTTAAGTCGTGAATGGCCAGATATTGCTATTCTTTTTGTATAGGAGTAGTACACCATATGCTTTTTTAAGATGTCATTTTAACCTGTGCAGGGAGCCAATTTGATGTCAGTGGCTCTCATTTTTATATGTGAAATGTAAAGAGAACCCCATGTATTGTCTCAACCTCATTTGTTTGGATCAGCGTTTCAAATATCACAATCAGTTAGGACATTTTTTATTATTTTAATTGTTTAGTTTTTTTTTAAATTTACATAAACTCTAATGTTTTTTGTAAATCATTTTACAAAAAATGTTTTTCTAACCGATTGGATCAGAATTTCAAATGATCACAAACAAACTAAATTGAGGCTTATGTCCTTAGTACAAAACAAGGGCCTGTAGTACAAGTCTAAAGATTAGGTCAACTCCCTGTTTAAAATCAATTTTATTCTAACGGTATTTAAAAATATAGAAAATATAGAAAAAAACTTTCCACATGTATGTGTAATTGGTCTTTTAAAAATCACAGATTAAGCCATGAGAAAGTCCAGACCTTATTTGAAAATGTTCGCTGCAGAAGTTACAAACAATGGTCTTTACTGGAACAAAGATGATAGATGATGGCTGATAGTGATAAGAGTCAGACCCCTCCAGACGCGTTTCTCCGCATTCGGTGGCTTTATCAATGGATGCCATTGATGTTCGGGATGCCGAACATTTTTTTTTTAAATATATTTTTAAATATCGTTAGAATAAAATTGATTTTTTAACTATCAATCTTCAGTGTGGTAAATGATAAGTACATGGTATATTGATATCCCTTTTTTTCGATCTTTTACATATATATATGGATCCATATGATGGAGTGGACAGCTTAACACATTTCTTTGGGATACTGTTACTGGACTTTTATTCATTTTCTCTCATTATTGTATTGAGGTTTTGCTGTATTTTCTGGGATATATGCAACTTGCTATATAGAATTATTTAGAAGAGAAGAGTTTTTAATAGTTATTTTGAGTATTATTGCATAGGTTGTTAGGTTTCCTATTTTTCATACCCTATTCTCATCTATTTTTTATTTATTTTTTTACAATCAGCGCTATCAGGACTTTTTCTACAGCTTAATGTAGTTGTTCTGGTGAGTATAAGCATTGCCTTCAGGCAGAGAAAAAGCCGTGTTTACATTACCCCATGGGACACTTTTTGAGTGGCAAATCCTCAGATGGCCACTGGAGGTGCTTCCTGGGGCAGTGCTGCACAGTAAGCAACACTGCCGTTCAGCGTCTCCATGCCCTGAATTCAATGCACCTTCATGAGGTGCTGATTGGCCAAAATGGCATTTGGCCCCCGCCCCATCCCGCCTCCTTGCTAATTATAAGCCAATTCAATGCTTTCCTTATGGAAAAGCATTGGATTGGCAAAAAATTGCCAATAGTGATTTCATCAAGGAGGCGGGGTGGGGACCCGTGCTGCGCTGTAAATAGGGAGAGTTTTCACCGGGGCAATCCAGCTAAATGGTGGATTAAGCACTATGGTGTCAGGAACCTCTTGGCTCCTCTACATTTGATTGTCCCCATAGTCATCCACCTATTGCCTCTAGGTCGCCCATTTCATTTGTTATTTATAACTTTTTATTTCTTCTCCATATCTTTGTCCTTGGCGCAGCCATCTTTGTGTTCCTGGATGACAGTGCCGCTTTAAGCTAAAGGTGATTCGGTGCCTATAGTGTTTCTTTAAGCTTACTTTTTTCCATTTCATTCTTTCATTCCTTTAAAAGCAGTGATTTATAATTCACACATGATAAAGTAAAACTGACAGAAATCTTGCACATTTCACCAGTAAACGGCTGAGTCTGTTATGTTTTTATGAGTCCTTGTACAGTCTATGTACTTTAGCGACTGCCATGTTCCTCTCTGAAGCCACCCTCCTGGTACATGTCTCAGATAATGTGTCCGAATTGTACAGACATGCCCTGAAGCTCACCTTCTTCTGCCTTTTTACTTTTCCAGGCCATTGATGATGACTGTAATCAGACTGGACAGATGACCGCTGCTCTGCTTGACTGGCCTCAGGTACCTTCCCTTCTTAAACAGGGTTTAGGATGTAAACTGAGAAACTTGGCTCTATTGATGACTTTAACCCCCTGTGGTCTAAAAATCTACTTATCCTGTATATTACCTTAGATTTCAGTAAAGGTAGGGCTTCCTGACCCTTCATTTTTCCTCCTCCTCGGGATCCCCCGCCATCAGCAGGGGCATGTTTTTTCTCGTTCATTTATGTCTGCTGCAGTGATAGGGCTTTTCTTGCTTTATTCTGTTTTCATAGTGCTAAAATGATTTAAGTAAGAATGTTTTAAAAAAATAGAAATGTTAATAGTTTATCTTTATCAATTGTCGCATTATTTGATGTGACTCCTCCTTCCCTTGCCTTCATAACAGTAACAGCTTCTCTAGGTCAAATGCACCCCAAGCTGCATGCTGAGACGCACTAACGGAGTTGAGTTGGATTGTTTAGGTTTTTTTTCCCCCCTTTTCTGTTTTCTGTGGTGGAATAATAATAATGCATTTAAACAAAAAACATGATTTAGGATTTTTAGAATGTATGGAGATGGGAATTGGGAAGGTTCCGTTCATTGGTTTTCTTTTCACTAGTCTGACTTCTGAGATATGTCGCCTTTTGAGAGTTCTTATCATTATGTATTAATACTACTGCTAATATTTTCACAATATAGGGGACATTTGCATCTGAGGTGAAGGTGGATGGAGAGAATGTAACCGTAGTTCGGGAAGTGGATGGAGGTCTGGAGACCATCAAACTGAAACTACCTGCTGTCGTAACTGCTGACTTACGTCTTAATGAGCCGAGATACGCTACTCTCCCGAATATCATGGTGAGAATGTGTTAGTGCAAATTATACTCTATATAAAGTCTCATTTTTGATATTGAAAACAAATGTGTAAATCACTTTTGTAAGTGACCCAACTTGAAGAAGTTTGGTCACTTACAAAGACATTTACACATTTATTTGTAAATGCCTTTAAAGGGACACTATGGGAACAGAGTTTAACTCCGTAACACAATGCTGGACCTCATCATGCTTTGAATGAGCACATCCCGCGCCTTCAAGTCCCCCGTAGGAAAGCATTATGTGAATTTGGGGAAGGCCTTAATGCACATGCGCTTTCGCTTCTCCCCATTGCCAACGTCGGAGGAGGTGGAAACAAAGCCAGTGCCAGCGAACCTTGGCACTGGAAAGGGGTTTTTAACCCTTTTAACACCGGCGGGAGGTGGGGGTGACAATACGTTTATGGCTGTCTTTTGTATTCCTAACATTAGTGTTTCTTTAAAGTAAACTTTAGATTGTGTTCCTTTATAACCTTAATGTTGAGGTAATTGGGCATATTTTTGTGTCTCATGACAACCCATAATGCCCGTATTACAAGAGGATGCCTTCAAACCGTACTTAAAGGACCACTATAGTGCCAGGAAAACATACTCTTTTTCCTGGCACTATAGTGCCCTGAGGGTGCCCCCACCCTCAGGGACCCCCTCCCGCCGGGCTCTGGAGAGAGGAAGGGGTTAAACACTTACCTTTCTCCAGCGCCGGGCGGGGAGCTGTACTCCTCCTCTCCTCCTTGCTCGCGATGTCATCGGCTGAATGCGCATGCGCGGCAGGAGCCGCGCGCGCATTCAGCCAGTCGCATAGGAAAGCATTTACCATGCTTTCCTATGGACGCTTGCGTGCTCTCACTGTGATTTTCACAGTGAGAAGCACGCAAGCGCTTCTAGCGGCTGTCAATGAGACAGCCACTAGAGGCTCTGGAGGCTGGATTAACCCTCAGTATAAACATAGCAGTTTCTCTGAAACTATGTTTATAAAAAATAAAATAAAAAAAAAGGGTTAATCCTAGAGGGACCAGGCACCCAGACCACTTCATTAAGCTGAAGTGGTCTGGGTGCCTAGAGTGGTCCTTTAAGATCCTGAACAGCAGTCAGTCCAAGGCACACACTCCAAAGCTTGATGTCTACTCGTCAAAAACTTGTAGCTGAATGGAAATTCTGAGCCCTGACCTAGATCTAAATCACGGTCATTGACCAAAAAATCCACAGATGAGAATAAATTAGTGACAGGACCTGTCTGCCGTTAAATACAAACTCTTTGCAACAATAAAGGTAACAAAGGCATCCTTAAATCTTTTTAGATTCATTTTTTTTTTTTTTATACTTTGCTTAAAACTGTAACTTTTTTGTATTGGGATCAGTTGAAAGATTTTTATTTTTTTTTATTTTTTTTTTAATCCAGTAAATCTAGATTTTCACTATTTTGTTTAAGGACAGAATGTCTTGTTTTCTTTTTTATATATATATTTTTTTTTTCAATTTAGTTTACTACTAACAATGCCCAGAGTAAAAGGATAATGGAATCTCTCAACTCAAGAAAAATATAATAATCCTGTAGTTATCTCCTTGTGAAGTTATTTAAAGAGCTTTACATTAAATGATATAACACAAAACACTGTTGTAAATCAATCCTTGTCATCTGGTTATTTGAATGTGCTTTTTTTTTTTTTTTTTTAAATAAATCTAGCCATGATTTTAAGCAGTTCCAGTAATTATTACACATGTTATTGACTTTGCAGAAAGCAAAGAAGAAGAAAATTGAAAATGTGAAGCCTTCAGATCTGGGGGTGGACATTTCAAGTCGAATCCAGATTTTGAGTGTGGAAGATCCTCCACAGAGACAGGCTGGGGTTAAAGTGGAGTCTGTAGAAGACCTTGTATCCAAGCTGAAGGAAAGTGGGCACATCTAGCAGGCAGAGGGTGAGTATTACCGATCATGTCTTCTGAAATTAAAGTAGCGCTACTGGCTGCCAATATTGCATTTCAAATAATGCTGAATTAATAAATAAAGAAACTTGGCCTTTGAAATTCCTATTTTGATGCAAATCCCCAGGGTTGCAGCTGTTCTCTTGTTTTCCCCCCTCCCCCCAAGGGCCAAGCACATAAACCCCTGCTTAGCATGCATTTCTGAGATCTAGAGTTCAGTACTCTGCAACTGTGTAATTTATCAGAAAGTGTTAACGGCACTATTGCTCAAGCTGACAGCAGCCTTTTTCTGATTGAAACTATAAGCACGACTCTAGTTTCTTCTCAGAAAGTCGGGATGGTACTTACATAGCATGTTCTGCACTAAATAAATAACAGACTGGTCAGGGCTGAGCTTATTGTAGCAGCAATTCTTGCAGATTTCAGCAATTATCGAACATTAAAGGCACACACACTGCTATGGACACCATCCTGCAGCTAAACCAAGGGCCAGATCTCTTAAGATGCTTAGAATGTCCTTGTAAATATTGTCCTGCCATTCAGTAACTGCATGTTTCAACAATGACTACTGGAAAATAATCTCTGCTCTTTTGGCATTAGGAATAATGTTATTTCTCACCTTCTGGGGCTTAAAGGGAAACTATAGTCATCCAGACCACTTCAGCTCAATGAAGTGGTCTGGGTGCCAGGTCCCTCAGGTTTTAAAACTTCAGATGTAAACATAGCAGTTTCAGAGAAACTATGTTTACATAGCAGGCTTAATCCAACCTCTAGTGGCTGTCTCCCTTCAGCGCCACGGGAGGGGGACCCTTAGGGCACTATAGTGTCAGGAAAACTGCTTTGTTTTCCTGACACTATACTATAGTGATCCTTTAAAGTGTACGAGTCATGGGTAATGTCAATGGAGGAATTCAATTTCATCTTTACCTATTGTTAGTAAGTATGTCAGTTTTTCAGAAAGGCTAAAGTCAGCTCTTCCTCTCCTCTTTGAAAACGTGGCATACAGCGCTATGATGTGTGTTTGACGTATAATAGTAATTTACGATGTGTAATCTAATGCATAGTTGTTTAACTCCAGAGTAAATAGAGCTTGCGTGCAGTGATGTGCTATATTAATGCTATGCCTCCTTCTGGAATCCGTCAAATTGTCTGTTAATGGCAAATGCACGTCCTGTTAAAATAGTGGGACTTTACACACTTTGGTACAACAAAAGGAATTGAGTCACACACCAGTGACCACAAAGCCATCACGTCTGTGTCTTAAAGGAATATGTACTATGCTTGGAAAGTACCTTTGTGCTTCCTAGAAAGGGGCAGTCCCACAGATAGTGAGGAGCAATAGGTGGATGTTGCAGCTTGTGTAACAACTTCAAAACCAATACGATGGCGGCTGCCGCAGTGCTGGACTGGTGATAGGTACATCAGGTACATTTAATCTAGAAAGGAGTAATCTCTCTTTCTTTTGCTGCAGCTGTAGTTTGACAGTATGAGGGGAGGTGGTCGGCTTTTATAACCATTTTTAGACTTTTTACAGCCGCTAAAAAGCTGTTTAAAGGTAGGTTTATCAGAAGCTGGGATTTTCTTTGAATGTATAGGCTAGCTATAAGCATTTTATTATATATAGCAGCACAATGTATTGGCAGGTATTACGTTGGTAAATGATGGTGTAAAAAATATTTAATTTTTGTTTGATGTCCTCTAACTGCTTTACAGGCTTTCACACAATAATGCTTTGCAACACATACACAGGTCTGGCCAACCGGGACCCCAGGTGTCTGTGTTGTTTGGGGTCTTATGATTTGCGTCTTTTTTGGGTGACCCCCATTGGCTTTATACCTCTGAATTTTGGGATATGTGGACCTATTTAAAAACCCAAATAATGATCGGAAATGTATTCGTATTTAATAGTTTTTTTTTTATTTATTATGCAAATATCAGGGGAAGTGTGTCAAGAAAAATATTATTGTAAATAAAATGTTTATGAAATGTTATTTGCGTATATTACCATATAGGCATTACTATTGGCATATCAATAATGACATATAGGAGAAAACCGATATGGCTGCTTACATTTGTGTAGGATAACACTTGCCCCATTAGACTTATACTGGGGCAGCATGTAGACCTATAAAACGAAAAACAAATAATAGTGCAATTCTTCTGTGTGGCAAGTACAAATTAGTATCTAAAGTGAGTAAATAAAAATTCACATTTAAAGAAGCCTTTTAAAGAGATACAGGCACTATTCTGTGTGCCTTTGAGGTGGCAGCATAATCTTCTTCTTTTGCCACCTTAAGAGGTAAGTGTTACCCTGGACAAATTATTGCGCTGCACTTCACTCTCACTTTGTGTTTTAGGTGGGGTATATCACCTAAAAAGTTTTTAATTTTTTTTTTTTTGTGTGTGTGTGTGTGTGATCTAAAGAGTATTCACTAGAGTGTTACAGCTGCTGATATATAGCAAGCTGCAACTTCATCCTCCTATTAGGAATTATGGGATGTCTTGTGCATCTTTTTATTGTTCGTGTAGCTCCCAACATAAAATAAGAGAACATGACTGTGACGGTAGTCACCATCACTGGGAGCACAAGACGGACACTTCATGTAGGTCCCCAGATGACTTTTATGTTTGTCACCCTGTGCCCATTATAAGTGCTGGGTGTGTAATATTATGTGTTAAATGTCTTGTGTGCTCTCTACCAATTAAGTGGATTTGGCTGTGGAGCCTATGTAGTGCCACCTGTTGGGTGCAACGGTTATGTGCACACCTGATTATCAAGACTAGATGATTTGCATATTATGGTTTCTGCAGACAGGGGACATATTTCTTGTTAGTCATTGTCTTCCCCATCCCTTTATAAATATTTGATTGTGCTATTACGTGTGTCCCTGTGATTCCGTATATGATTAGGTTATGTGTACTGAATTGAGTGTGTCGCCATAAGTTTAATGCAATTTTAATAGGGGATAATCCTGAGTAAAAATATGTACTGTGTGGTAGTTCCATTGGGAATGACATTCGAATCCCAGTAACAGAGTTATCGGACATGTTGGCTAGATGCACTGGTCCCTGATCCTATCATCATCTACATAATTTAAAGGTGGTGGATTCACTAATAAGTTCAATGCAACAAATACAAATGTATCTTTAAAGATGTGGCATTTGTATCAAAATGTGCCATTAATGGCTTACTGAACTTGTTTTTGTAAGATTCATCTAGATAAAAGATTGCTTAAAAAGCAATGCAGGCAAACCGTGATATGATGGATAACATTGATTCGGAAAAAATTCATTTTTATTCTTCTTAAGGTAAAATTGAAATAAGGTCAATGTTTATACATTTTTGTCTTCATCAAATTCTTGAAAGTGTTGAACCTGTGAACTTTATGGATTTTCTCTTCAACTCGATTAAGTACTTAGAACCATCAAACTTTAAGAGGCTTTTATTTTTTTTTTCTTCTTTAAAGATTCACTCGTAATTTTGAAAAAAGTAGCATTCACTGGCTAAATAATACGAAGTTTCCTAGTATGGCCTGACCCATTCTACTTCTGTCTCTCTTATATAATATCTCCTATATCACTTTGCAGTAAAAGAAAATTTCTCTTACTGTGCAGTGATGTGTCAAACTCATGGGGTGCAATCTGTGCAGCTAGCGAGCGCCTATCTATTGTAAGAGGGCCAGAACTGGACATAGTATTTACAGAATCCCTAGAACACTGGTGTTAAGAGTGTGTTCCCAGTTTGTCACTTTATAAAAATGCTAATTTCAATAGAGATCAGCACTTTTATAAAGTGACACGGTTTCTCCCTCGCAGCGCTCAGTTCGATGGCTGAAAGGGTGCTCTTTGTGATTGCTTTATGCCCTAACAAAAAGCAGAAGGCAATAATAAACTGTTAAATGTATGTAGAACGCTGGAGTGTTGTATGTATTATGCAGAAAACTGGAGTGTTCCTTTTAAAGAATCCAGAATTATTTTTAAGTGGATCCTCCTAATCACTCGTGGTGATTTCTATTAAACCTTATGCAGAGTTAATGAGTTTCTCTTGACCACAGATTAGACAAATTAGTTCAATTAGAACCATTAATATGCCCACATTCATGCCTATTGTAATTCTATATATAATGGCTGGTTTATTATTTTATTTTTTCTTATATTGAATTATAAAGTAAGTGGTTTATTGGTATATTTAGAGAGTATTCACTACTAATAACATTTTGTTTCTCCAAGTACTATTTTTTTTTTTTTTGCATGTTTAGACACTTTGTAAACTAACTTTGTAAGCTTCACTTCTAGACTTTTTTTTTATTTTATTTTTTTTAAATTTTTTTTTTTTTTTTTTTAGGCTGATTCATAGCTTTATTCTCTTCTTTTACATACACTTTTTTTCCTCCTCCTCTCCCAACAGATTACTTTTTATAACTTGACTAACCTCCACCATTAGGCAGGTTACAGACAGCACCCGTACTGATGCCACACAAGTATCTGTGTTTTTATTGTTAAACACAAATGAATAGGAGTAAACTCCAGCATTCTTAACTACTTCTGGACAATGCTTTGGGAGAAGCAATATTTTATAACCTGGAGCAACAAATCTGAATTAAATACAGCTCAGAACTGTATTTCCTGGAATGCTGAAGGAAATAAGATGTCCTTGCTTTTGTGCGCTTGACCCTTTTTTACACTGCTAAATGCTATCAGGAGTTTGATTTGTAAAGGGGGCATTTGTGGCATGTACTGCCATCACCATTTGGTGTTTTTGGTCTAAGAAATGTAAGTGCTCTACAAAATTGAACGTTCAATAAATATTGCCAGAATTGTTGAGTTGGAAATATATCTGATGGAGAATATTTACAAAGTGTTTCTACTTTAACATAACATTTGTCATTTCATAGTCCATTCTCTATAGTTCTTGGTGAATAAACTGATTTAACAAAAGTGCAATAACTGGTCGAGAGATATAATTTTCCCTGGGTGAACTCCACACTATACTGTGTATAATCCAGAGATGTAAACCATTGTATGGACCTTCTCATTGGTCCATGTCACGATTTGGATGCAGATGTACAGTAGGTGCTGTGGAAACCAAATCGATTTCTTTCCTGTGCAGCTGTACCTTGCCTCCCCAATTAGACAATTAATTAATCTAACTCGGTAATTGAAGTTGTCATCTCCTGACGCGAAGTGCTCCTGCCAAGGGTGGGTGACTAGAAAATGCCATCAATATTTTGGTGCCTAATTTGATAAAAACATAATTTGATAAATATGTTTTTAATTATGTTTGTGTTTACCGCATTTTAATGTGCCTGGCGTATGCATGCAGTGCCTCCATTGACAGGATGAACAATCCATCTTTTCAGACACGGCAAGTCGTCCTTTATCTTAAATGCCAGTCATGGCAAGGAGGTGTAAAGTTTACTTTTATTATGAAACATTACTCTAAAATTTGCTGAATCTTTTATTCTAAAATTATTATTATTATTATTATTACTGGCATTTATAAAGCGCCAACAAATTCCACAGCGCTGTACAATTGGGGAAAAAGACAAACATAATAAGAACAGACCGATACAACAGGTAGAGGACCCTGCCCGTGAGCTTACAATCTAAAGGTTGAAATGGGGGTATAAGACCAGAGGTAGCAGAGGAATTTGTATGTGATGGCAGAGAGTTAATGGTATAACTGCAGCAGCTGACAATATGTGAAGGTAATAGGGAGGTGATTGGTGTGGTTCCAAACAGCTGGAGGTGCATGCTATATAGTTAGAAGGAACCAGGGTGGGTGGGTAGAGCCGAGTAAAATTAAATGGCCTTCATGTTGCAGGGATGGATGGTTTGGGTCTAAGGAAGAGAGTTAAGACAGTTACTTTACTTTAAAGGAATTTACAACTGGGAGTGGCAAGCTGGGGCAGGAGGAATGGAGCAGGCCAGCCATTTCTTATAAACAATGAAATATTTGTTAACCAAAATTCTATCAGCCAGATTAACTACATGTAACAGTACAAAAATTTACAGTAATAAACTATATGTAACAATGGTAGCATCATTATAATAAAATAATAATCTAGTAACAAAATGAAAGAAGTCCAGTTGAATATCTTCTGCATCTGTTTGTACCTTTTTAAAGCCGCAGTGTTCAAAATTAAATGGCCTTCATGTTGCAGGAATGGATGGTTTGAGTCTCTCAAAATGTATTTTGGAAAAAAAAAAATCAATCGGTATTTCTTTTGATTGCCTTTGTAAAGGTGTAACATGTCATACATGTGGTCTGCTTCGGGTAAATTTTAACCCCTTAAGGACACATGACATGTGTGACCTGTCATGATTCCCTTTTATTCCATAAGTTTGGTCCTTAGGGGGTTAATATAATATTCGTACTGTGCGTTCTAAATAGGCAGGCTTTGCATAGATGGTTACCTGTGTAAAATGTGACTCTTTATCTCTGATGTGATCTGCCCATGCCTTGGCACTGCCTAGCATGCTAACACATTCATGGTGCATCAGTTTCAACAGCAGAGGTGCGAAGACAAATCTGTGTGTGTGTGTGTAGGGGAGGGGGGGTGGGGGGGGATAATCTTTACATTTGATATTTTGTCAATCTATAGATAAATCTGGCCTAATGAAGTGATACCCTGTCATGTTTACATTCCTGACGCAGATTTTAGCTCTTGATTCTTGCCATACACTAAACCTAGTTGCTGTCCATCGGGAAGTTAGATAACTTCCAATGAATAATTCTTGCACTGATTTTGCTTTTAGAGTCCTTTCTGCTATCTGAAATTTTTCCTATGGTTGACTGGTCTGGGGCAGCTTATGATGGGCAGACAATTAATGACATGACTGGTTGGAAAAGTTCCTTCCTATGCCGGTTTCCTGTTTAAAGTCTCTGAGCTCTGTCGTATGGGCAGTTGTTTTTGGAGCAATCATGACTGCACTTGAGTTATTACATCTGTCAGCAGTGGTCGTGAATATCCTACTAATCCACGTGTTAAAAAGGGTGTCCACAAAGCTTTCAGCATGTATTGTATATTTGTGATTCAGCAATGCAAATATCAACACTGAAAATGTATATTGTTGTTCCCATATTTGTTTATGTATATTTTCAGCCTTGTGGGATTATTAAATAACTGGTTCTAGAACCCCCCATTTTAGTGGTTTTGTGGTTAGTTTGCAGTGCATTGGTCATTGCTGTTGGGAGGGCAGTCAGGTTGACCCCAGCCATATAACCAGTTAGATTTGCTTTTTAAGGAGCTAGTCATTAAAAATATTGGAGTGAAATCTTGCCTCTCCAATATAAAATCCACATAATATTAGTGTATCACTTACTTTTTTTTTTTTCTGTCACTTTTTTTTTCATTCCTTTGACAGTTTCTTACATGGAGACGTTAGATGGGTTCACGAGGCCAGTCTCTCTATTCTCACACATTCTTGGCTGTCTTATCTGATGACCACAATCCCTACTCCATTCTCACAAATGAGCACCCAGTGTGCTGCGTCACCCCTCCTCTCCTATCGCGAGCAGTTAGCATGGCAGACAGAGTGAAGGGACACATGGCACCCTGATTTGTCACCTGTCATGCAGAAACCGAGATAGGAGCAGAATTCCCAGCGTACGTTCTGTGATAACATCCGCAGGATCCTTGTCACATCTGTTCCCCCTCTGCTTAGCCTGACCCTACAAGACTGCTCCTTGCGGCTCTAATTTTGTGAGCACAGCATGAAGAATATAGAAATACTAAAACTGACAACTGCTTAACCCACTTAACACAGGATAATGAGAGAAGCGGTGCGCACCAGACATTTCGATTCATATGCAGTTGTGAAGGAATAATGTGGGCCTTGTTTAACACATTCAGGATACGGGTTAGGCAGATCCAGTTATATCATGACAAACATTGTGTGTCATTAGTTGTTAAAGAGTAAAGTTCCACAATCCATGAGTTGAATTTGGTTTTTAAGGCAGGCGGCAATGAATAAAAGATAAAAAAAAAGTTTTTACATTTTACTTTTATTTGTTTTATGCTCCTAACTTAATTTTTTTTTTGGCCTCCTATATGTAAAAATTGCCTAAATTGCTATTTTTTTTTTATTTTTAACACTCTTGTATTGCCGTACCTCTTAATGCAGGATTGTGTAGGACTACCAAGCCACTAGCATTCATAATTCATACACTGTTTGCATTAAAAATAATAATCCTTTGTCAATTGCACATACTGCTGGGCAGTCCATTCTCTCTGCCACTATTCAGTGTGTGGAATATGTTGGCAGCCATTTTTAAATGGAAAATCTTGGAACCCTGGTGGAGTATGTTACATGTTTGCAGGAATTAATTCAGACCTTTTTATCATCACTTTTAGATATGTGTAAAAGGTTGTGACCTTTGTGGTGTGTGGTTGTGACTCATGAATGAGACATTTGTGGTGTGCGGTTGTATTTCTCTTAAGTGCTTGTGATCTGTCATCTGTGCATGCGAAGCGGTTCAAAGTAGGGAGAGCAGTGGATTACGTTACTTGCAACATGGCAGTATGGTAAACCACTTCCTGTCTGTGGCTTGAAAGAAGGTTTGAGGCCAATTTAATGCAGACAGACAACTTGCGTAGAGATTAGTTTATTTTTAGTGAACTGCGAGTTTCATAATTTGACTTGTACTTTCTGTTAATTAGAACAAACAAGAGACTGCGCAAAAAGTTGCTGTGTGCACACCAAGGTGCTACTTGTATTTTTTGGAGGGACAGAATATCACAAACGTTTCGGGTATTCCCTTTCTCAATGCACCATGTCCCTCCAAATACACAGTGCACAAAAATAGTAATCACAATATACATAAAATATATGCAAAAAGTATATACAGAGAGTCTAGCCCTACCCAGAGTGGAAACACGTAGGATCTAAACAAAGAACCTTCCACAAAGTAGTGGGGAATAGATGGAGACAGGAGCACTGTAGCAGAGAGGAATGCTCTACAAAAAATAGCTAAGTAGACCATAGGGAGAAACCGAAGGTAAACATTAGAGGGTGAAAATACTTAGACTCGCAAAAAGTAACGCATCTACAGGAACCAGTGCCATTCAAGCTTCTCATTGAGACCATGAGGGGCCACTGTATCCAGTAGGTATGTCCAACGTGCTTCTTTTTGAAGAAGAATCTTTTCCCTATTGCCTCCTCTCATTAGAGGGAGTACCCTTTCAAGGACCTGGTACCTGAGTTGATACGTTGTGTCTCATTTCCCTAAAGTGTCGAGCTACATGGGTGTCTGCTGTAGGACTACGGATAGTGATTTTGTGAGATGCGGTTTATTAATGCATGTATGGTTTTGCCAACATAACCTAAACCACATGGGCATTTAAGAAAATAAACAATGAAATCAGTATGACAGGTGAAGAAACCTGAGTTTTGTTTACCTGTCCTCGAGTGTGTGCAGCATTCCCACTTGATAATGCCACTGCAATGATTGCAGTAAAGGCCAGGGGTAGGTACCAAAAATGGATTTGGACAAAAAAGTCTGTTTACTTGGAATAAAGCTGTCCGCTTTTACTACAGTGTTACGTATTGTACGTCCCCCCCAATGTGCAAATCTAGGGGATCTTTGAAAAGATGGCCGATCTGTTTATCAAGCTGTAAAATGTGCCAGTTTTTACATACAAGGTCCTGGATTTGAGAAGAGAATGGTGAATATGTACTTGCATAAGGGATTCTGTTAGTCTTAGATGTGAAGGCTCTGTTCAAGGCTTTGGCTTTATGTTTAGAAGCTTGAAGAAGTCGTGGGTTGTACCCTTTCTCAATAAATGTTTCTGACGTGTAAGACGCCTGTCCAACATACTTTCATTACTGGCGATTCTGCAAACTCTGAGAAATTGTCCGTAGGGGATAGAACAGAGCTGTTTAGAAGGATGAAAACTGTGCATTTAGAAGGCTAGTAGAGACCGTTGATCTAGAGAATAGATGAGTGCTCAAGCTGTCAGAGGATTTGTCAACAAGAACATCCAAAAAACTCACATTTTGCATATTTATTTATGTGGTAATTTTGTTCTCTGAGTGGCACTGGTTGAGGTACTGTATGAAAGCGTCCAGGTCTATCCTGGATCCTCTCCAAATCAAGAAGCAATCACATATGTACCTCAACCGGGTCACTGCATGCACTTAAAAAGGGGTGTGGGGGTACAGGAAGTTGTCCTCGAATTCCATCATGAACAAATTGGCGGATGAGGGTGCAATATTCGCCCCCATCGCTGTACCTTTAAGTTGTTCATAGTATATAGTCCTATACCTGAAGTTCTTTTTAAGAACAATCTATAGTAAAGTTGTCACAAAATCACAGAATTTTTGTTCATGAAGGACCCTTGACAGTCTCTTCCGTCCCACCAATAATCCTTACTCGTGTGGAGTGGATGTGTAAAGGTTTGAAACATCCAATGTAACCAACCAGTCAGTGGGTTCTATTCTCAAGTTGCGTATCTTAGTCAGGAAGTCTTTAGTGTCCTTTATGTATGATTTTGCCAAGGTCACCAGTGGTTGGAGGAACTGATCAATATACATTGCCAATGGCTGAAAGATTGAATCAGTGCCTGCAGCTATTGGTCGCCTAGGAGGGCTTGTAGCATTCTTATGAACTTTTGGTAAAGTATAGAAGACTGGTGTAACTGGAAACTTGTTTCACAAAAAACACAAAAAAAGAGTACTGTGATGGGGTAATGTGTTTTATTATCCAGGGCCTGGTCTAGGACAGAAGTTATGATCTTAGATTGAGAGTTTGTTCTGTCAAGCAGCTGCCTCATAATTTCTGTATGATTATTTTTGTCCTATATTACTATCAAACCACTTTTGTCAGCCGGCTTGATAACAATCTCCGGGTTCTGGGACAACTCTTTAAGGGTTTTGTTTCTATTTCAGGGAGATGTTATGTTTAATTTCTTGATTATGCCATGGTAGCTGCTCAACTTTGGATCTCATTAAATTTGTGAATGTTTGTACTGAACTGTTTGGTACTAAAGGAAAGAAAGTGCTTTTGTGTCTACAAACCTCCAAGGGAACCTGAGACTCTTGGGATCCTGAAGATCCACATGCACCATGCGGCTGGGTCGTTATCTTGTTGCTGCTGCTGGCTTTTGCTGGACTGGGGTTGTTGATCTCTAGAACGAAAACAGAACATACTTTATGTTCTGCAAACTCAACAACTACACAACCAAAGTAACAAAAGGGGAAAAAAAATGCATCCTGTAGAAATTTGAGAACACGTTTAACACCTTTGATGTTTTGTAGCAAATTTTATACAATTTGAATAATTTCTCGCCTCTGGACAAAGTTGGCAATCTTCAGATTTGTAAAAAAAAAATTTTATTATATATATTTAAAAAAAAAAAAGGCAATTTTCAGATTTTAGGATAACGATATGAGGAAGCGTGTTTTGAAACATTTGGTGAACCTAATAATTGAGACATTTAAAAACATGTCAGTGCTATACCATCCATGTAGCATATCAAGGTCAGGGACCGGATTAATGAGAGTTGCTGGGATTTGTGGCTGCAGCCTGGGAGTGTAACTCCCATTGATCACTAGCAGACTGCAAGCATTCATTAGTCATTCAACCTCCAAGTATATACAATACCAACAAATTCTGCTGTGTAGGATGCACTAAGTAAAGGGTACAACCATCGCAATACTTCAAATCCTATTAGCCAGGCTTGTAAGTTACTTACTGCTACAAATGTACGCAAACTGCAGTTTGTTTGCACCATTGAGCGGCGGAAGTGTTGAATGCTGAGGTTTTATGCACATTCTATTTTTAACTTCCTTGTCGGTGTCCTTCATTATCTTCGTCATCCATTATTTGGGTGCTACTTTGTCATTATGAAGCCCCTACCCATAGCCAGCAGGTGAAGGTCTCACCTGATGTCTGTAGAGCTGGGCCTTTCCATGCACTGATCACAGGAGACAAGACACATGATTATGGCTTCACTATAGCTATTATATTATAGCTATTTGGAATGTGAGTTATAGAAAAGGCCTGGACAGCCGCTTCATACACTCGAAAGAACGGTTTCTAGAGCCTCGAGCCCCCAATGGCTCCACTCTGGATAAAACCTACTTGGATAATTATTTTAAACTTCCTTGTAAGGGCTGTGTTTTCCTTCATTGAGAGCAAGGGGAAATTTTTTAAGCCTAAATATACATTGTTTTCTTTGAATTAAAAGGGATGGGACAGGTTTAGACCCAAGTAATGTGTAAGGTGTTTAACAGACTAAAACTGAAATGCTTTGGTTAGACTAGTGGTAGACCACCTTCGGAACTTCAGATTTTGTGGACGAAATCTGCCATGATGCTATGCAATGAGGGAATGGACTTGAATGGATTGAATCTGAATGAATTGTAAAGGAGAAGGGACTTGTTTCAGCAATATTTAGTTGGATGTGACTGGACCATATGAGGGAATTGGTTTGATCCAGATGACTAAATCAGAGCTAGTGTGATATGTCACAAATGGTAAATAGACTTTATGAAAATGATAAGGAAGTTACACATAATATTACCAAATATATCCAAACATATCTTTGCATTATCCAGAGGTACATAATTCTGTTTAGAGACACCTGTATAACAGTCCTAACCACCAGTTTTTTAATTTTCACTTTGTTAGTGTTTTCTTTTGCCTCCAAGACCTGCCCATTTGTGCATGTAATCCACAAAATATAGAAAGGAGGAAAGTAAGGGAGATGGGGGTCATGTAACTGGGTATTTGATGAACCATACAAATGTTGTTTTTTTTTTTCCAAAAGCACTTGCAAACTGGCTTTGACCTTTCACTCCTGTATCACTAAACTAAGCGGACCCTGGACACAGCAGATTGCACATCACAAATGTTGACACACTGGATCAATTTGTCAGAATTTTTTGTCGAGCAGAATTATAGGGGGATGCCCTTTACCTTTAATAAATTACAGTGCTAGTCTATGGTCATTGATTAAAGAGGTGAAAAATCTTACAGCAAGAATAGCTCTCTATTTAAATTACAAAAAAATATAGAAATTTACACGACTGCTACACCACAAAAACAAATACTATGCAAGATAGTTGCTTAATAGCAATGCCTTTTCCTGTGGAATAGGAGAAATTTCAGTGTATTATTTTGGTAGCAGGGGAAACCTAAAGGGTTACTGAAGGAATTAGAACTACTACAGCTCAGGAATACGCTGGTGCAATTCCCCGGTAATGGGGTCAGAACTGCAGAAGCTAGATGCTGTTGTGCGCTCAGTCAGTGTATGACACTATGTGCGAAGAATAAGCACTATTCACATTATTGAGTTCAGAACAAGGATTTTGGGCTAGCTAATGACACAGCCGGTGGTTAAGTTAGAACTTGGGCACGTAGCCTTAAAGGGACAGGTCAGGGCTTAAGCTGATAACTAATGGTTTTTAGCTACAAACTCTGGAAGACTGAGTCCGATCACTCTGCCTTTGCACTTGTGAGGACTATTGGCCCGACAGAATTTTGCCAAAATTTTGGAAGATTAGATGGGCAGAGTGGTTCTTATCTGCCGCCACATTCTATGTTTCTATACCTGGTCCTGAAGGGGTTAAAGAATACGCGTGTCCTTTAAGACTTTGCTAAATCAAGAGCCTGTCTTATTGTGAGTGATACCGAGCATCCTGTTTTAAAATCTCAGCAGTTTACCTTTTCAGGCATTATGATGTGAAATATTGGGTCTTTTTGTCTGAAGTAAATCTCTGTTTTAATTTTCGCCGTGACCCCACCTTGTCACATTTCTGCTTCGCTAATCTCCGAGCTGTCATAGCATGTCTGTGATCAGCGGAACTTTTCTGGAAGTAGTTTGAAAATGCTGATGTTTCTGTGCCGTAAGATAAAGCTTTCTAAGCAGCATCAGCTGGTTACTGACATTACATTCACCAGCTGTCTGCAACCCAACATCGGGCAGCGAAGGAAAGTTCTGCAAACTGCACCACTCTCTTCAAATACATACCTGTTAAAAACAGATTTATTTTTTTTTATCTCTATTAAGCTTTTCATAAGTTATTTTCTTTTTTGAAATTAAAATAAGTTTATTATTTGCCATAATCAGTTCTTGGTGCCTGCCGCGGAGTCCATCTTCCCCTCCATTTCAACACCCACTCCCTGCAAGTAACACAATTTCATTATTTTACACCTACTGCAGTCCTTCCTGTTACATTCCTCTGTCCCACCCTTTATCTCTGCACCTTTTTACATCTCAGTTTGTCACACTTTCATCACCGTCCCCCCTTGGACACCAAAGAACACCTTGGTCTTCTTGTTACATCCCCCTCCTTTCATTATTGCTTTGGCTCCTAATTTTAGCACAATACTCTTAATTCATGGTTCTCATTTTCCCAGTCCTAGTACCCATACCTGCAATGGGTCACCACCTTAACACTTTTGCTACCAAAGCAGAACAGACACGTTAATTTTTGTGTATTTTACAGTATGAAATTTAATTCACTAAGCTTCACTCACCCTTATTTATACTGTAGAAATGATGACCAGCTTGCAGAGGAATTAATTTCTCTCCCATAAACAAGTAATCACTGATATAATGCTTGCAGAGAAAGCTCACCCCCTGCTTCCAAACAGTAAATGATGTTTCCATGGGCTATATCATTCCTACAGTCAGAGAGAGGGAGCAGTGAATAGACTCTACTGTTTCACTTTTTGCCCGGCATTCCAGAGGTTTATAAAGATTGCAATAGCAGTTTTAGAAACATTTTATTTTAAAAATATTATAATTTAACTATTTACGGTATTAGTGTAATGTGTAGGCATTATGTTGTCACTTTCAGTAAACTGCTAGTAATGCCTTCAGAGTCCTGCAATTACTTATGACAAAATGGTCAAATACCTTGTTTAGTCTTATTGTGTGAAATCTACGGTATGTAAGAATATTAAATTTTTGTTTGTATACAGACATTCCAGACTGTGGGAAATGTTGCAAGAGAGAGGACACTTTTCATATTGTCAATAATTTCCCATTTATTTTGTATAAAGGCTGAACAAACACAAAATTATTTTATCTTCATATGCAAGCTATGCATTCCTTTAAATAAATGTTCTGCTAATATTGTACAGTCAGAAGTACTTGTTTATGAAGGGGTTAACCACTTCTCACTCAATAATAATTCTCCTTAGTTAGCAGAATCATCCTCCCGATTGTACTATCGGTTTATGCAAACAGAGCTGGTAGATTCATGATGAAAAATAAATACTTCTATTGTATCCCTTTAAGAAGACCCTGTTCTTTTGTGTGAAGCAATTGTGATTAGTGGTTAGGATTGTTTATTTTTGCGCTAATACCCCTGTTTGTTTAGAATCATGATGAAGCCTGAGGACCAGCTCCAAGATGGATATAGTGCATGTGATGCCCCTTCAAGAAGTCATGTGCCCCACTATAGCCTCATGCTGACATCATGCTCCTAGTATCTGTCCATTTGTAGCTGCTTTTCCTATGTTTTGTCATTGACCTTGCTTACAGATGCAGGTTGAAATAAAAACTTAGGTTGTTGTGAATAAGGAATATCTGTTAAGGACTTTGGGCAACTGCCCATTTTACCCTGCCTTAAATATAGCTATTTATTTGCTAGCTTGGCTGTTTTGGATTCAGCAGTGTGCAGCTCCTCTATGGGTTCTCCACAATGCCTGAGAATGAACAGATCCTTTTAAATAAAATTAAATGTAACCATTTCTAACAATTTAACTTGGAGTATGTTATGTTTAGATGATGTTGCGGAGTCTAAAGCAATAGTAGCAACCCCCCCCCAAAAAAAAACAAACTAGATACTCCGCCTCCACTGTAAAACAGGATGATTAATCGCTTCTTATCATCTCTGGTCTACCAAACAGAAGTCATTTCCCCAGGAAAACCATAAATTAAAGAACCAGTCTAATAACCAACATCATTTCATCTTAATGAGAAAATGTGTTTCTAAGAAAGGAATTGTTTCCATTTTGCCTTTTCTTCCCCTGCTAGTGTCTGCCAGACAACCACTAGGGGCTCTGGACTAAATTAACTAAATAATTGAATCTATTTAGCATCACCATGCAAAGCATTGCGTGTATCCTCTGAGAAGTCTGATTGGACAAAAGTCATCAGGGCTTCCCTGGAGGAGGATTAGACTGTAGTGATGAGACTGCCCTAGCACTGGAATAACCGGTTTCATAGCAAGTTAATAAAAAGGAGAGCTCAGTAACCTCATATTAAAAAGAGATCTGTGTTCCTTTAATGGTTTATATTTAATGTATTTGCAAGGGGATTGGGTACTCGAATGGTATGTTCAAAGCTAACATTTAGCTCTTTCTGTTTCAGGATGCTGAAAATCCAACTTGTTAAATCAGATTTCGTAACTGCAGGTTGTGATAACACCTGGCCGAGCCGTCCCGAACACCCGCCGGTGCCTTTCTTCAGCACTGCCAGTCTCCGATCACGATTGTACAAACCTCTTTGTCCAGCCCCTCCAGGAGAGGGAGAGGGATGAAGGACAGAAACTTCAGGGGAAAAAAGTCAACTACTTGTCTTTCCCTGTAATTAAGCCACATCTATAAATAAATGTTTCTCCTTTGTACGTTCGGACTTTGAGTTTAACAGTGATTATTTAATGGGGTCATTGTGTAGGGGTTGGAACGAGCTGTGTACAGCTGTAGAAAGGAGTCTCTGTATGAAAGCATTGATGTAGGATGTTCTTTAATATACGGTGCTCTCAATGCTTTACCTCTGTTATTACACGTTAATAAACCTATTTGAATGTGTTCCAAGGGGACGCTGAACTTGGAGACTCTTAGAATTAATACTGCACTTATGGTACTTGCGTAAGGAAAGGAAAATTCAAGCCACATTTGCCAATATATTACCAAGAACAACCATGTACATGGTTATAATTTTAAATGCCTCAAAAGAGGCATTTAAAGATTATTCAAAGAGACACTTAATTCGTAACTCAGTTTGTTGATGCTGGATAACAGGAATAAGAGCAAATCAAAAACCTAGAGGGGAATAAAAAGTACATAAATCAATTTACTGAAACTTGACTTAAACCTATAATAGTACCTCTCCAAAACAAAAAATAGATAAGTAGAAAAAAAAAAAGTTTTTAGCAAAATATAAATTTGCTAATGGCTATTTACACTTCAATGTCTTATTGTAAAAATATATTTATAATGGACATAAACTCAAAAGCTGCCTTTTGATGGCTCTCAAAACGGTTAGGGAGTCACTAACCACCATATCAATTCTATCTTACTGTAATGCAAAGATCACAACCCTGTACCCTTTATTTTTAACGGTTTCATTCTGTAGACCTATGTTTTTTGTTTTTGTTTTTTTTTTTGTCCTAATGTAGGGCCAACCCATTGCACTTTTATTTTGCCAATTAGTATACTCTCCTTGACAGTGTGTATATTTTGCAATATAAAAAGTCAACTAGCACAGTATAAGAGTGTGTGTGTATATAATATATCAGCCAGAAAAAAACAAGTAAAATAGGCGCTAACCCATTGGTTCCCAAACTTTTTAGGTTCAAGGCGCCCTTAATATTTCAGTATTTTTCCAAGGCACCCCAGGTCAAAATTTCTAGGTTCTGTATCTCTACAGCACTGCCGCATTTACAGGCGCTATAGTGTAACGTACAGTGTTGGTGTTTGAAGGGGTGCTTGTACATTTATTGTATTTTAAAACAGGGGTGTGTTTGTATGTGGTTATGTTTGATTGCAGTGGTGTCTGAATGTAATGTTCACTTTTAAATGTGGATGTACATTTGTGTGAAGTGTTTGAGTGAAAGGGGTGTGTTTGTATATTTATTTTTTGTTTGAATGCAGGGGTGTGTTTGTATGTAATATTTGTGTTGGATTGCAGGAGTGTGCTTGTTTGTTGTGCTGGTGTTTGACTGCTTGAATGTATGCACATACATACATACATACATACATACATACATTCATACTTACACAGATGCATATAAATACACTGACACATAGATACCCACATGCACCCTGACACACCCAAACATTGATACATGCCCACACCATGACACAGATACACACTGACATAAACACAAACACACGGATGCACATACACAGATGTGTGCGCAAACACAGAAGCACACTGATATATAGAGATATAGAGATATAGATATATATATATAAAAATATAAAATCAGTTTTTTCACGAAAATCCCTTGAGTGCACCCACTTCATTTTTGGAAAATTGTTCTTCAAACTGTTTTTTTTTTTTTTTTTGCCTTCTTTTGTATCAACAGTTTAGCGTTTAGTAGATAGTTCCAAAAATGAAGTGGTAGCACTCAAGGGATTTTCATGAAAAAAGCTGGTATATTTTATTGTTTGTGAGCAAAAAATTAACACACTGTCCCGATCGACGTTTCAACCCCAAACCGGGTCTTTCTCAAGATCAACAAGTGATAAACCAAATAAGCAATATATACAGTTCAAAATAAAGTGACTTGCCAATCCAAGTGAAACTCCAGTATGTACCCGAACCCTTAAGTGTTCATGCCGAACATGTGACCCCCTGTGACATAGAGGCGTATAACACAGTTATGCGTGCAGTCGGTTGCTAAGAAACATATAAACAACCGACGGGTGAAGACTTGATACTACATAAAATCATGGTGTGCATGTGTAAATAAGATCCGTTTCTACATATGGAATGGTGCCAAGACTAACGATAAAATACAAATATGGAGGAGTAAGGAAATATTGTAGTAAATATAGAAATACATTGCATAGTTAAACATTCTATGTGCCATAAACATACAAAGGTAGACAACCAGGCGGATCATGTCTAGAGTTAGTGAAGAGATGTTTTTATCTTTATTGTTCATTGTATGTAGATGTTCTGCAATGTGGCTCAAAATGTCTACTACAATTGGTGAGTGAACATTTTGCCATGGTAACTTAACCTCCAGACATGTAGCAGTGACTAAATTTCAAAGCATGGCAAGTAACGTATTGATCTAAATTATAAGCCCTGCTCTACAGTATTCTTATTTTACTATCCTTTAATAGATGGTAGTGGACTCTGTATCACATTTTGAACTCATTGAGCTCAGTTTTTTTTGTACGTATGTATGTGTGCACACTCTCTGAACACACACATTAAGCCTCTTGTGCACACATGAAGTTTAGTCACCAAATTAAATTTCAGCTACTGAAAATAGGAACGGCAATATTTAGTAAAATTAAGCAGAGTTGGAGAATTTTTCCACATGGACAATGTTTTGTTTAAATTTCACCATTTGGATTTTATTTCACGAGAATGTTTTAAACCCAAAGGAGTGCGTTCTATTAACCACATGGTCCTGAGGAAAAAAAAATCTAAACTCACAATAATAATGAAGTGATTGTTAAATGCAAATTGTGGGAGTACCTTTTGGTTGCAAATAGTACTGACCATTCTAAATTATATGACTGTAACCACAACAAATAATCTAAAACAGACATTTTCTAAAATTACTAGTTTAAACCCGCTACAATTAAAACATGCACTTGTTTTTCAGGTGTGATACTGGTTAATCTTTCTGGGGGTTTTCAAGTGAGTTATGAGGAAGCTAAACATATCAAAATATGTTATTTGGAATGCAATGGGTTGTCTACTTTTAAAAGGGTATGCTATAATGGTGGAAATGTTATTACCCAGCTTGCCATACTCTCTCACATGTGACGTAGGCCCAAAAAATTACTTTGTCAAATTTCCAGGTATGAAGACAGAAATGGGCAAGCCTTATGTTTGACCCTGTAACATGCCAACACCACATAAAACCTGTTCATGGGGGTATTCTGGTACTTTGTGGAACGTTTCGCCGAATGGTTCACGGAATATCGCTGCCAAAATACTCTGACTTGTGCCAGGCTGGAGCAGCAAGTGAAGTCATAGACAGGGCCTTTTGTACACCTGCTAATGTTTTTATAAATGTATGTTTTAATGTAACTGTGAAGCACTTTTGGCAGCAACATTGCAATTAAATGTGCTAGATAAATAAATAAGTTACTCCACCTACTCCAGTTGTAGACCGTGGGTTGAGGCAAGAACACTTCACACAATTTCCCCAGAAATTGTAGCTTTTCTAGCTTTGTCTTGTTTTCATGTTTGGTGCCTATCCTAGCCTTGCCTTGTTTCTAGTACTGGATACATCTTTGCATACTTTTGCTCTGACATCCGCTAAGCTTCAACAGTGTTCTCGTTTGTGGCCGCACAAACGCTGGTGCTCAACACCAGGGGTCATTCGTTTCCCCTGCACCAGGCCCTACTGATCCACTTCCATGCTGAAGACTCCTAAACAACATCAGGCACAGGGGTCCGGAATACGGACTGCCTCCCGTGACATACAGGCCTCAGGTAGCATGTTAAATGTCAATGTTCCTGACCGTACAATTAGAAAAAGAGTAAGTATGGCTTGTTTGGAAGAGTTGCCAGGGAAAAGCCATCTAAACAAACCACACGACTTCTGGGGCAATGTCATTTGCATAGACAAGACCAAAGTGAAGATGATTGGCCATAATGCATAGCGCCATGTTTAGTTGAAACCGAACAACGCATATCAGAACAAACACATCATACCAAATGTCAAGCACAGGGGTAGAGGTGTGATGATTTAGGCTTGTTTTGCAGTCACAGGATCAGGGAACCTTGCGGTCATTGAGACGCCATGAACTGCTCTGTATACTAAAGTATTCAAGAGTCAAATGTGAGGTCATCTCTCTGACAGCTCAAACTTAGCTGAAATAGGGTCATGCAACAGGACAATGGTCCCAAGTACACCAGCAAGTTTTAGATTCTATGTTGCTTTAAAATTATACAAATGTTTGAGTGTAGATGTTGACTAATTGACTGTAAACTATATTCCTGGTGGATTATCATTTTCAAAGGTATGTGAAATCATTGCCCTCATAAATCAAAGATACTGGACATATTCTACAGCTTTGGATGCTTTTGAGTGGAAGGTCAGTTACACCTTGTAGCGGAGCTCTAGTCCTTATAAGGACTTTCTTTGCTGAATCCTTCCTGAACTGGAACAAGGCGATGAAATGTGAATAGCTCTTTCCTCTCCCAGTAACTTGACGACACATCGTTCTGAGAGTACAACACATTTTTATTTGGAGACAAGGTCCTTTATAGCCAGAACCACAACATGGGGACTCCATATAGTACAATGGAATCCCCGCCCAGGGGTCTCTGTGTCTTTGAGATAATTGAGTCAAATAACGGTAAGTTAATTATCTCCCAGATACAGAGAGACAAACATAAAAGTGCCCCAAAGTTCTGACTGGCCGCACATGAGCGTGATGCCCAAATTAGTTCCAGGTTAGAAAGTGATTTTGGCCGGTCAACTTTTGGGAGTTCCTATGATTGAAGAAATGGGTGTTCCCCTGGCTATTAGGGAGCAATTGTTTCCCACATTCCATAGTACTTCCCCCCCCAATTAGCACTCTCTTGTCATGTTTGAAACTGAGGCAAAACAATGGAACAAATAGACCAGGAACCACGTGGTTAAGTGGCTTAATATGGTTCCACAAAGTAGGCAACCAAGTACCGCTGTCAGTGTTTGGGAGAAAAAAATGGCCATCCTCTATCAGGACACGTGTTTTCGGTAATACGAATGGCAGCCACCCAGGGAAAGCACTTAGATGTTGTTCGGGAGAGGGAAGATATAGAGCCAGGGGAACACCGCGTTCGACAAACGAATTGGGGGGACACTTGTTTGGAAACCGAACAGACTCAGGACCAGGTTTGCTACATACCTGCATGACCATAGGTGCAGTTT